TCCTTCCTCAATGCCTTTGCGCTAGTTGATCCGTATGCGTATAATACAAGAATGCTGTAGCAGGAATAAAAACACCATAGGCCTACTATGCAATTCAAGAGCCCGGCTGCACACCAACACAAATGTATTTCTGTAACGTTTTGCTTGATTTGTAACCATTTTTTTCTGAATGTGATTACTCTTTTAGATAGTCATATCTCGGAAGATGTTTTTGTTTTAACGTCGAAAAAAATTTAAATTTCACCCAGTATAGCCTATATGAATAGTTGTGACAAGTATGCTGCTGGGTAATTAACGGTTTTATATTTCGGTTTCAATGGGAATCGAAAATTCAAAGCAAATTCGATTCAAGCGAGTAAATGTAATTTACAATCATATTCGTACAATCAAGTAGTAGAACACTTTTATACAAAAATATTGTTCATAAATCATGAACTGAACTTCCAAGACGGTAATGCCGGGGAATATCTAAACTTGAATTTGATTCTGCAGACCCAACACTACAAATAACTTCAGCTTTAATTAGGCTCATTTTTAGTGCCATAAATGAGTCTCAAAATTGCCATATCCTATTTGTCCACACATCTTCCCGCCAAAAATTGTATCAATACTCTAACTTTCTTCCGAAGTATTATATCTACCCTACTCCAGAGCATATCATGATTTCCACTTTATATGCCTATTCTGATCTTGTTTCTCACAAGATATATTTATTCCAACTAAGAATAGCGTGACAGTGGGACAGGTTTGGGGCATAGGGGACACGACATTCTGAGATAGTCCCCGCATTTTTCAAACACATGTCCGAGTCCGACTCGAACTAGCTCTGCTCTCTAGCATTCATTGTAAAAAGTTAAAATGGAGTAATACAGCCCTATACTGTAATATGTAATAATACTGTAAAATGGAATAATACAGACAACTACGCGAACTACGTCAATAGTTCGAGTTCGACAAAAATATAACACATTGTGGGTAAAATCGTCGCCTAGAAATGACATTGTTACACATGACAGGGAAGAAAAACGTCGTTTATCTGGAGAAAAAAAAATTGCGAGTTTTTCATTGGGGTTATCGGGGTATTGAGGTCATTTTTGGGAATACTAGACTATTGAAAATAATAGATAGTGTTCTGACAGACATAACAGCGCTAGATTCAGAGGATTGGTGGACAATACCGTTACGTTGTAAACTTCTTATGGTCAAAATCCACAAAAACATTAGATATAAATTTAGATTCAAATACGGGGTATATTTTTCTGGTTACATTAATCTTATCAAGTTTTGAAAACCCTTCGAAACAAAAAAAAATCTACAATTTTTTCCCCTCATATCTAAAGCTTTTTAAACAAATTTATGACGCGAATGTAGCGACTGTGTGTGCTGTTTACAATTGTTTGTTATCTGTTATGCCATCGGAAAGGTCAGAAACAGGTTTGTTACAATGACGTGAAATTGCTGAAATTTGTTGTCGTGCCCATAATTTTGCAATTTGAAGCTTTAGAATATATGAACTGTGAGACAATTGGTTGCCCTTCGTAATTTTTGTCGGATTAAAAAAAATGAATTCTAGACTGTTGTTGCGTTAATAAAAATTATTAATAGAAAAGAATCATTTTATTTCTTATGTTCGTTTAAGATTAATCAACAGATTTCCACACGAGAGCTGCAATTAATAACTAAACTTTGATGAAATCCTTGATCCCAGTCGTATGAGTTTATAAATTATGCTATTTCTATTTTTTTTACTAATAGTTGTTAGCCCATGCTCTTTATGGCATGCCAATCACTTCGGAATGACATCCTATGTGTGCTGATGGCCTTGCCTTGACATAAACTTTTTACATATAACTTGGCTGCTTTTATAGAACTTTGTTCATATCAGAGGTAAAAGTCTCAACATAATGATAGATTTGCTTTCCATTCAATTTTTTCAGAAGGAATTAGAATAATATTTCATTGATTGTTTGCAGTTGTAACAAAGTAAATACGTTACCAAGATTAAAGGTTTAACAACTATTTCTGGTAAATAAAAATGCGTTGTGACGTATTGTATGAAAATAAACGCAACTGATAATTTAGTTTTGTATGGCATGAAAATGCATAATCGGCGATAAAACTGGGTACGAAATCTGAAAAGGGTCGTTTAAAGCAAAGCAAGGAAGTAAAATTATGTTCCAATCTGATTTAAATTCTTATTAAACATTTGTTGTAGAAAGAGTGCTGTGCAGCAGTAAAATCATAATGTTTGCACAAAGAAAACACACAACGATCAATAAACACAAGTGGTTATAGGTGAAGGTGCCGGCCTGGTTGTGTGCAAGTCTTCGTATGTTTTTCGTTTCCAAGCCTGTCGAGTGAGGCAATATATTCATGTGGCCTTAGATGTTGCTACAGCGCCTCCATGCGCTCGCAGTTCTAAAGTAAACGGACACGAAGACATATGAAAGTGTTTTCATATATCATATAACAGTGTTCACATTAAGTAAAATGAAACAACCAAATTTTGTATGAAATATCAGACCTTGGAATATTCGAAAGCGATTGAAAAATAAAAATAAAATAAACAGATAAAAGTAACAGCCCATCTGGCGACTTCTTCTATTATCATTTTTTTTACAATATAATTTTTTTTTCACATCAACTAATTTAGAAAACGATTATGGGGTCCACTTAGTGTCCAATGAGTCAATTGAGAATTTGTTTTCGATTTTTTCAACCTTTTGCATTTGTATCGATAACAGTAACTATATCGGCCAATTTGACGCAAATAAGTCTTGAAATGTATCTTTAAAAAAATGGAGGGCTCTACCCAAAAGTTTACAAAATCCCTATTTCCAAATATTTCAAGCATTTTGACTATTTTTTATTTATTTAAAACGATGCAATACTCTTTAATAGTTGAGATTGCAACATGATACAGCTCGGCGTCAACTCGTAAAGCGTTTGCTGGAGTGGGTAAATATTAAATATCAATAAATTTCAGAACTTTCACGCGTATTGTCACGTCACTTCATTCAGAATTAGTGATCTGATTGCGCGAGCAAAAATCATGCGAATAGGCATGGAAAACATGCAATGAAGTTAGTTTCAAATTGAAACAAATCATGTTATTTTTGTCTTACTTGTTGTCCGTTTCAATTTGAAAAATCTGGAAATGTCTGGAATCTGGAAACAGTTTGAAATCATTAGTCAATATGCTCGAAGACATGATCTTTCTTCAAACAAAACAACTCATACAATGTCATGTTTTTGGAAGGCCATATTCAATGCTTCTCTCAATTAGCTTGCAAAGTTCGATGTAATACTGACTTTGTGAAAATTGCTCAATTATCGTGTTAAATGTTTCGCAATAATTCTAGATATCAATGACGAGGAGGCCTCTAGATCGTGCAAATTTGAACCTTTCGTGTGTACTGATCTAGAGTTTAAAATCATTCAAAATCACATACCGAAACAGGCTATGTGTTACTCGTCCTACGAGGGTCGCGTTATTTGCTCATTTCAAAATCACATACCGATACAGGCTATTTGTTACTCGTTGCACAAGGGTTGCGTTTCCAAAGCTCAACGAAAAATAGATGAATGGTCTGTAACGAGGCAAACGCATCAATCTTAAATCCTTGTTTATTTTGCTCTTGTCTATATTCTGTATAAACTGACTTTAACTATATAATCAGTAATTACTACAGTTAGTTACTATAATCAGTAATCTCTTGACTCTCTCGATATTATTTTGCCAAATTGTATTCCCATTTTTGTTAAAGAATAATTAGTTGATTTTATTTGACGTCATCTGCTGTTGAACTCAGCAAACACGGTGTCGCTGACACGATGACTCTGGTAGTCTTTCGCGGCCCCGCGTCAATTGCGGAAATATTGTGTGCCTTTCTATTTCAATTGATCTTTTTGTTAGCATTTTTTTTCTTATTACTTGTGTCGCTACAATATTTCATGCACGACGGAAATAAAATATCTGAATCTGAATCTGAATCTGAATCTGAATCTGTATATTTGCATACAGTACATTGTTTTTATGTGTTGTTATGTTTTCATTTTTTTTCCATCTCAATGCAAAAGTCCGCGAGTCATCAATAAATTAGAAGAAGTCACGGATTTATTTTTTATTTTTCAAAAAGTCTGATAACCACCAAACTAGACAAGGTCGATATGCTGGGATCTCAAATGCAGTATATATATATTAGGCCAGGGGAATAATGGTTAGTAGTTCATATTGCACAAAATATCAGAACTGCACACAAACGATGGCCTAGCGTGCATATCGTTTAAGCTGTAATTGGTCAAGTCAAACATGAGATGTATTGGGAGGATAAAACTACCGAAGGAGCTGCTGGATATATTAATAGCATGGGTTGGCGTCAGACTGTAAACATATTGGTCAAATAATTGTAAAACTGTATTTGTATAGGATATGGGTTTAGACGATTGGAGGAAGTGGGTAAAGTGCCATAGCTCAGTGAAAATTGATAATTACAGGTCAAGAAACCTTAGTACACATGATTGCTTAATCAAGGATAAATACTAGAATACTTTACTTTAGCCATTACGCTATGTTACAAATTTCGGTCGAATTATGTATCTTATTCTCTTTCTTAATCGAGCTTATTTTAAGAGAACCACTTATATGACATAAATCTGATCTATATGGTGACCGAATATGGTTACATTCGAATCGCTTTTGTGACGTCAGTGACGAACAATAAAAATGGGGGAAATACCGACGGGTTGAAGGAAAGGGGGTGAAATTTAGCATGTTTATTCAATTCTGATGCAATCTTTCTTACTTCAAAAATCATGTGATTAAACTAATCCAACCTATTTAATTTTATCTAATTCGAGAATTCCCAGGTCCGAATTACACACGAATTTGAAGGGTTTTTGTGGGTAATTTTCACACCTACGCTTTTAATAGGAATCTGCTGGGTATATAATGTCATATCTGCACTCATGGAAGTAGTGCGTTTTGCATATCCTCCAAAATGTGTCGAACAGCCGCTAAATACTTATTATTAGGAATCAGAATTGTTGTTGTAATTTTTCTATCTGAATTGACCTTTTCTGTTGGTATGCCACTAAATGAATTAGCAATCGAAGAGAATGTCGATGGGATACCCCCGGAATGCAAGTTTTTAAAAGGAAATCAGAGGTATAGAAAGTTGACATATATAAGTATATATGTAATCGAATTATTTTTGAACGTAGTCGAAAATATATTGGCATGATTTTCTTTTGTAATATTTTTGTATGTATTATTTTTCAAACTAAACGTGCAAATTCTAAAAAAGAGAGGCCGCAAATCAAGATAAAAACTTTTTAAGAGATAACAACAATCTTTTCGTTTGTTCATGTTCAATGCTATTGTTACTGTGAATAAAGATATTTACCATTGGTTTCAAATAACGTTTATTTGTGCGGCAGAAAATTCGAACTCCATACAACAGTTTACGTGAAAGAATAAAAGTCGCTGAAAAAATATTAGAATAAAAGTCTGGTGATTTTTATAAAAATGTGAATTTATTTTCAGAAAAAATTGTATTACTGTTTTCATGGGCGACTACGTAAAAATGTCACAAGATATGCTTTCTGACAAGAAATTCGCTGACGAATTGGAAGTACAAGACGTCCGATCGAGGGAGAAACGATCTATTAGAAAACGTTGCCCTAAATTCAGTGAGCAGTACCTGCGTCGGACTAAAAAAGTAAAAGATCGCAGTATTTCTCCATGGAAATATATCAAAAATACTGATAATAAAAGGTACATATGAATATATTATGTGTGTAAAAATATAGATAGAATAATTTTTGCATTTGTGCATTTTTAGAATACCCAAGATATTGATGGAAGCTCGATGTCTTTGTAACGGTTGTATAAACATAGAAACAACTAAAGAAGATAACGTGAATCTTGTCAGTATACCAACAAAAACAAAAATTACAGTAATGAAAAAAGGGAAATTAACTCGCAAGATCATTAATACTGGATGCACTTGTGTCATCCGGTAGATAAATCGTGATCGATCTCAGCATCTCAGTTATAAAACGTTGTGAACTTTGACGACTGCAGACAATGAGCAAGGTATTTTGTATCACGCCGTTTGGAATTTGGATTTTTCGGATTCAATATCTTGCAAACATTTTGTAAATTGGGAAAAAATGACAAATGCACTGCACATTTCTTAGTGCGTTAAGTACGAAAGACGCCGATACGTTCGAAGGATGACCATCAGTAACTTACGTGAGATTTCGTTGAATTAGGAAGTTGAAAATGCATGACGTCATAATAAGATATTCGATTTTGTATTTCACACATCAGCAGGGGCGTAGCCAGAGGGTCGGAACCCTCTCCCATTTTGTAAAGTAACAATTTTTCGTAGCTTGAAACGCTTTTTAGACCGTCAAGACTTTCGAAACCCGACGTCTTCTGCCCTCCGCTCAGACCCGCTGGCTGTTACGCTCCATCTTGGCAATTGGAAATTTCAGAATCCCTTTTGTTGGAAATTCTTGACTACGCGCATCAGGCAAATTCCAGTGATGTCATAATAAATATTTTAACATATTTTAAGAAGACTATCAGTAAAGGTTACGCGAGACTAACTCTCAATCCTTCCTCAATGCCTTTGCGCTAGTTGATCCGTATGCGTATAATACAAGAATGCTGTAGCAGGAATAAAAAGGCCTATAAAACCATAGGGTACTATGCAATTCAAGAGCCCGGCTGCACACCAACACAAATGTATTTCTGTAACGTTTTGCCGGACCAAAATCAGACGAAACGTTACAGTAATACATTTGTATTAGTGTGCAGCAGGTCTCTTGAATTGCATAGGAAGTTATGCAATGAAAGATGCAATGAAACGTGGTACCAGAAAATGTGACGTCATAATACGTCTATTTGCGACAGTAATCGGATCTGCATTTACTGTATATTTACGAACAAGTTTATGTTCATTTATGTTCTTGCAATACAGGTATTCTGATAAAATCTCCATTCTTATAGCTGTTCAGCAATTGTCTTGCTTTAAGTACAATGTTTGCTTACTACTGCATATTAACAAATGCGTTTTGTCGACATTCTTTCTTACCGATTTAATTAAACCAGTGATTCTATAGTGTTGATTTATCACGAACAAAATAAATATTGGTATTCATATTTGGGAGTTAACGGGAGAAGTTTTATGTCATTTGGTACTTGGGTATTAATCACGCTTGTGTATTTTCTGTGGCAACTGAGTGGGTGAATTTGATTTGCGTTTCAAGGGTAATTCCATAATACAAGATATGACATCGTGGAGTATGTAGGTGTAGGGCGAGCCGTGTGCAAAACCGCAATTGATAACAAACGGACAGCAGTCATGACATGGCAATATGTAAGTCGCGGCATTTTGTAGTTTTAAAGTAATTTATGTTGGATTGACGCAAGTCATTAAATATATCCTCGTTGCGCCAGTGAAGCATTGGAGTCACAGTCCGGAGTTTTGTAAGATTTCTTTCTTGTCGGAGTCGTGTTCTTAAAAGTGGGTTATCATGGAAAAATTTCTGTCCGTTCAAAATAACTGCAAAACATAGATTATTAATCATTTAAAATGTGTAGGAGAGATTTCTTGCTATCGACTATAGGTAGCAAAAATTCGCGTTACCGACTAGGTCTTATTTTATGGGGAGGGCTTATATTCTATAATCTATGTTTAGCAGTTTTTTTTTGATAAAATTATGTTATTTATAAGTAAATGGATGTCGGTTTTCATATTCGTATACTTGGAAATCTCGTGATTCTCCACTTTGTAATTTGGTTTTTGATAAAATGAAAAAAAAAAGACATCTCCCCGAAATAAGCCCTAGTGTTATTTTTCGAAAAAAAAAAAATTGAAATAAGACCCCGTCCTATTCTCGGGGAAACACGGTAGTTATGATCTTTATGAGCCAGAATTTCAGACATATATATATATGATGGCAATAGTTAAAAATCAAAATTTCCTATACAAAACCTCAAAACGTGTTCATTTGACTGGCAATGAGCATTCGCGAAAGACTATTAAGAAATAATTCTGGATACGGGGGTCGGAGTTAATGAAGTGTTTATTTCTTTTTCATAATGACTGGACAGTGTCGATATGGTGGTGATTAAAAATATTTGCCTCAATTTACAAAACGTTTTGATATATATAGAGAAAATTTACACGAAAGAGGAAAAGCTAACATTTTATCTGTTTGACATATATATATATATATATATATCACTGAAAACTGTATTCCATGTGAGTGACAAAGAATCATTTAATATTAGCTCAGGCAAGTCACATTAGGGGGAGGAAAAATTGGAATTTACATTATCGTTTCGGGGCGGTGTACATTATGGTTGGTGAATTTTCGAACTCACAGAAAATTGCAATATGGAATTGTATTTGAAACAATTTTTATGATCCCCTCTTGTGTCTTCTTTAGTAACAAATGAATTTACATAATGTGAAATCTCACACACTTTTTTAAAACCAGAAGCTGAGAACTTGTGTGATGTATCAAGGCTTTTTGCCTTGGTTTGTATAGTGAAGTATATATTAGAACTAGACTACATTTTGAAGGCGCATCACAACGATAAAAAGTTGAACTTGCTGTATAAAAATTAATAAAGCTGCGTGGCTAAATCTATATCTGCGGAAATACTAAAACTTTAATCCAATTCATCAATTTTTATTTAAGCCTTTAAATTGGCTACCAATTTAACTAAGATTGTTTTGATAATAAGGCTCTAAAGATGAAGTAGTATAGGGCAACAAAGATTCGACCCTATCTGCGTGTCCACACTCCCGTGTTATTGAACACACGTTAACAGAGTGTAACTCCGATCTCGACTCTTTCAGAGGTCAAAAAGCACACAATGTATTGAATGCCAATATATTATATTGTAAAGTTGCACAATCGAATTGATCCAAATAACGAATTACACTTGAAACCTTAAAGCAAGTATATGTGATGAAACCAAATTTCTAACTAACAAAGAACGGCAAAGACAAGCTACACTGAGTGAGAGAAATATATCATAAAGGAAATGAATTGGGACAACGACCTTGTTTCAGGCAAATAACATGCACTACTAACAATAAGTGGTGAAAATATTAAAATACACAGTAACTATCCTTATGTACTTGCTACACAATTGACCCTATCTGCGTGTCCACACTCCCGTGTTATTGAACACACGTTAACAGAGTGTAACTCCGATCTTGACTCCTTCAGAGGTCAAAAAGCACACAATGTATTGAATGCCAATATATTATATTGTAAAGTTGCACAATCGAATTGATCCAAATAACGAATTACACTTGAAACCTTAAAGCAAGTATATGTGATGAGACCAAATTTCTAACTAACAAAGAACGGCAAAGACAAGCTACACTGAGTGAGAGAAATATATCATAAAGGAAATGAATTGGGACAACGACCTTGTTTCAGGCAAATAACATGCACTACTAACAATAAGTGGTGAAAATATTAAAATACACAGTAACTATCCTTTTGTACTTGCTACAGTAGCATGATCCTACCTGTCAGGTCGGATCATTAGTAATTGATGCATGTAAAAGAACTGTTTATTATGTTCGAAAAAGTGAATGATGCGTTTCCGACAGCGAGCCTATATGCATGCAGGTTTTAACCACAAGAAAACTTGTTTATTAAGTTTTTCATTATAGATATTCAACCATTGTTGTAAACATCAGCCCGTTTTGTGGTTTTTCTTGCTTGAAGTTTGTCAGTTCAGAAATTAGTCCCGTGAAAGCTATAAAAGACCAGGCTAATACTAGCTGCCGTGTTTCTCCGAAAATAAGACCAAATCAAATTTTAATAGTGATTTTAATATCAGCCCCCTCCTTTAAATAAAACAAGACCTAGTCATTTCAGTTAAATGAAATCTTCAATGAAGTTTATGAATCTAGTGACTTACAAGAAACTAGCCTAGGTGACTACACTAGGTTATCGAATATTTCGGTTCAAAATGATTGTCATAAACAACTTAGCCATTTTGTGAGCGCCAAGTCCTGAAAACACCTTTAACTTTAAAATACATTTTTATACGATATTTAAACCTAGGAATAATTTACTATTTTCAGCCCAGTGCAATCGACACGAAGTATGCGGATCTCATAATTCATTCTGCACTAATCTGTAGAGCCAATAATTTACTAGCAATCGCTTTAACAGGAAATAGCCACAAATTCAACCCTTGCAGCAAACTCCCGTTGCTGGGTACGCCATCTTGGTGTAGACTGAACGCTGAGTCATAACGCTATTTCGCTGTGCTCCGTACTCAACGAGGCATAACCATAAGCGTCCGTCATGACACTCCGTGGTGTATTTTCGATTTGTTGATGTTTTTTATCTGTCTTGTGTTTTATTTAAAAGTAATCTTTTTTTATTCCAAAGTCATTGTGGCATTCCGTGGTTTATTTCGCATGTTTTGCCGCTCTTTTTCTTGTATGATTATAGCCTATTTCATGTTTGTTAATCATTCCACAGGGATTGTGGCATCCCGTAGTTACTCAGGTTTTTTTTTTTTGTTTTTCATTTTTCGAATGATTGTGTCCAATTAAGCCAATGTGTAATATTGAGTTCTATTTATTTTTTTGTCTTTTTGTATGATCGTGTTAATTTATTAAGTTAATGTGTAATATTGAGTGTCCCGTTTCTTATATTTGCTGCTTAATTTCAGCTACAAGGTGTCGCTGACTAGATGACTCTATGAGTCTTTTCGCGACTCCGCGTCAACTGCAACAAGCCGATATCCATTTGACATTTTGTTACATTATATTATTTATTCATTTTTCATATCGCACATTGTTTTTTTGCATGACGAAATAAATATCTAAATCTGAATTTTCTCCATTTTTATGTTTCATTTATAAATTAAGAATTTCAGTTCGTTACAGCAAATTAGCCATGAGACTGATCATTGAGGTGTATATCTAATTCATTTTTCATTAAGATAAAGAATTTTTTTTAAATATTATATGTGTGATAGAGAGTGGATGTGTTTTCACTACGTATTTTTCGTATAGGTGAGTAAACACGCGCCCTCTCTGTTTCCATCATTTTACTTTAATTTTTGGTCTTCTGAAGATTTATTACCGTATAGATTTTGTTCAATTTTATTTTCTGTCCTCAATCATTTCTTATCTTGTTATCTCTGTCATTATTATTCACGCTCCGCGTTTTTACAATACTGATATTGGGAACATTCCCTGTTTAAGATATTATATAAAATAATAAATAACGTTAGACTAGACTAATCAACAACTTATAAAGTAATGTCTGAAGATGTCGCTTTATTCTGACAAACTGAGAAATGCTCGGAAAAAAGATGAAGAAGAAAGATCCCACTTTAGATAGGTCTAAATGTATGGCCTTGAAATTTGGTGATGACAAGATTGTTAGAAGAGAAGATGTATGGGATTTATTTAGAAAAGTTGGTATTGTGTTTGAATCAGTGGATGGATTCTTGATGACATCTAAAACCACAGTTGATATAACATACAAAACCAGAACAACTGCGATAGATGTCGATAAGAAATTGTGGGAGATGAAAAGAATAGGGGCAGAAAACCTACCACTACATAGGCTTTATGTTCCCGAGAATGTTGCTGTTTTTATACATCATGTACCAATCCCATTGAAGGAAATTGAAATAAAAGAACACTTTGAAAACAACCATGGAAAAATAGGAGAAGTTCTCCCATTAAAAGACAGGTTCAACATAAAAATTGGTATTCGAAGATTTTTTATAAGAAAAGATGATATTATGGAAAAACCCATCAAGAGTTATGTCAAAATAAAGGGATTTCTCTTTTCGTTAAATATTGGGGACAAAAACCAACTTGTCGCATTTGTGGCAAAACTGGTCATTTGAAGAATGCATGTGAGGAATTCATTCCGAAATTTGTAAAATACAAAGATACAGGACAAAAATTTACAAGTCCAGAAAATGTAAGAGATGACGAAACCATATTAGCACCCAGACAAGAAAAAGCAACTACACCCAGACAAGGAAAGGAAACTATTGATGTAGAACCAGTAAAAGATGCTAGTAATAGTATCAATGAAGAGAGTCAAACAAAAGGAAACCCAAAACAAAGCACACCAGCAAATGCAGAAGAATGTACAACTGTATCAAGTTTACAACCTGAAATGTTTGGCAACATCTCAAGACATCAGTGAAGTAATGAAATTAATGAAAAGGGAATGAAGAAACAGATGCACTCTGAGAAATTCGACAAGCAAATCTAATTCATCAGAGAAAACTATATTATATGTATTGGGACGAGACAAACAACAGCAAGAAAATCTAACACAAAAAATATCTACTAACACTGATTCAAATGAAAAGATCACCACCAAGAAAGAAAAAAACGGGGAGAAAAACAAAGAACTATGACCATAAAAGAGGCAAATGAAATATCTTCAGAGTATGAGCGAATAACAACTTGTAATTCTTCTCATATTACTAAATGCAAAAAAACAAATAAGAAATAAAAAAACTCTTATAATGGTGCTGGTATTTAACGAATATTAACAATTATTGTAAATGGAATAAGAGACAACCAAAAAACGAAAAAGATGTTTTCATGAATTAACCCAAGCAAAAAGCAGATGTGATATTTTTACAAGAAACACACTGCACACCAGACGTTGAATTAAAATGGCGCCGGGAATGGAAATGGGGTACAAGTTCATGGAATAGCGGGAACTCAAACTCTAGGGGTGTCGCTTATATTACTTAAATTCAAAACTGAACAATTTTTTCATTTAGTAATATTTCTTTTGACAATAATGGGAAGAGTAGTGACTGCTAATATAAACATCCACGGAGAAATAATTCATTTTGTTAATATCTAATGCCCCCTGCAGAACAAGCATTATAACACAAGAAAACTTTTATAACAACAGCTACAGATTCATACATTCACAGTATCCTGTTATTTTTGGGGAGGTGACATGAGCATGTGTTCATTGATGTTGACCGTGACCGTGATAGATAAGGATACCATGCGAGCTAAAAAGGAATACATTTCTGAGGCGTTAAATTGAACTAATAGAAACCTTTAATTTGATAGATTCTGTGGAATATTTTCCCAAAATAACAATACCCTTTTACACATGGCGAAACAACACCGTACAAGCAAGGTTAGATCGTATCTACTGCTCACAAAACTTGTGTTCAGTAACAAATTTATACTGTTGTCCAACTTATATTTCTGATCATGATATGTATTCGGTTTGATATTGAAGTTTACACCAACTTGGAAGAAAAAGGGAGCGGATTCCTGGAAAAACAATGTATCAGTTTATAATAGTGAAATATTTATTGAAGAACTTAAACATAAATGGAATAATTTGGTGCACATTGAAAAGTATTATTTAATACAAAGACTCAATGGTGGACCGAAATAAAGAAAAAAATAAAAGATTTAACTATCAAACATTCTGTTAAACAAGCAAAGATGAAAAAGCACAATATCGCAAAGAAATGAAACAGATGGAAGAACTAAAAGAAAGATTAGACAGAGGAGAAAAAGTTATTACTTTATTCAATAAAACAAAAAGAGAAGTACTAAAAAACAAAGCAGAAGAATAGTAAAATTAGATTTCAAAATTTGGCCCATTTCTATGACACGTATGAAAAATGTAACAAGGCATTCTTTAAAAAATTGAGAAAAAAAACATAAAGAATGTTACATTAAAAATTAAGAAACACAGAAGATGTGGTACAAGAAAATTTGGTGGAAAAGATGGCAATAGTTTAAAGAATTCTACCAGAAACTATACAAAAAACAAAATAACAACATGAAAACTCAGATTGATTTTGTGGAAGGTATTCCAGATTCATTAAAACTAAAAGAGGATGATGCAGAAACATTACAGAGACCGATTATCTTTGCGGAAGTTCAAGAAACAATCAAATCTTTCAAAAAAGACAAAAACTCCGGGACCAGACGGCATAAGTGTCGAATTTTAATATAAAATGTTGGAATATAATTGGAAATGATTTTTTTGAAGTTTTAGAAGAAGTGTATGAAAAAGGCCTCATTACAAAAGATATGAAAAATGGATTTACAACACTAATTCATAAGAAAGGTGAGATGGATCAAATAAAAAATTACAGACCTATATCATTGCTGAACACCGACTATAAGATACTTACAAAATTACTAGCGAATAGACTAAAACGACTACTACCTGAAATAATAGATAAACATCAAACCGCTGTTCCAGGAAGGAGAATATCAGATACACTCATCTTATTGAGAGATATATGTATACAGGAGGAGAACAAATTTGGAGAATCTTCTCTGCTTTCATTGGATTTAAACAAAGCCTTTGACAGCGTGGACCTGGAATATCTATTTTGTGTACTACATAAATTTGGATTCAAAGAAAAATTTATAAATGTACTTCGAACTTTGTATACCGAATCAGAAACTAGGGTGTTGATGAATGGATATTTAAGTCAAGCAGTTACATTAGAAAGAGGAGTTCGCCAAGGTGATCCACTAAGCTTATATACGTTCATAATAGCAATTGAACCCTTGCTCATTGCGAAAAATGCCCATAAAAGTATCAATGGAATTATGATCCCACACAATCAAGAAATAAAGCATCTAAGTTACGCTGATGATATCACCCTAACTGTAAGAAACAAAACTTCAATTTAATATACTCTGGATTTAATAAACAGATTTGAGCTAGCAACTGGCATGAAGTTGAATATTGGAAAAACAAAACTTTTAAAAATAGGAAAATGGACCAATCCAAATTTTTTTTCAAATCTCCATATTGTACAAAGTTTGAATGTACTCGGAGTAGTGTTTTCAAACTCTGATACAAGCAATAACAACTGGGAAGACTGTATGAATAATGTTAGGACTGTAATAAGTGAACTGAAGGACATTCCTTTATCACTCGATGGAAAATGTCTATTGATCAAACTTAAAATTTTACCTGTTTTCTTATACTGTGCAAGAATATTCCCTATCCCGATGTATATAGGAAAACAAATTAATGATATTATTGAAAAGTTTGTATTTAATGGTAGAAATACCTTAAGAATTGATACATTATGTAAAAACAAAATATTAGGAGGATATGATATAATTAATATTCCTCTTTTTACAATGTGCCTTTATGTCATGACTTCTTATGAATATTACTGTGATAGAATTAATGCTAATATTGAACACTGTAGACAATCCGTATATAATTTCATAGAATATAACATAGGGCAACAACTGAGTGTTATTTTTAAAATACCCGTAAGTAATAGTGTATCACATACCTTTTTCCCCAATAGATATTATGGAGCCATTATTACTTTCCTTCGGCAATATAACATTGCTGGAACTGATTTAGAACAAGGGAAACATCGAATAATTTATAATAAAATAGTTGATAATTCGAAGAGTGGTGACAGAATAGTGTTTCTTAGAGATGGTAGTTTGGAAGGAGCTTGTTCAAACATACATTGTAAAATATTGGCTAATAATATGAAAACTTTCAATTATAAACTTATGTGGGACATTCTTTCACTAAAAGTTAAACCAAGGATTAGACATATTACTGGAAATGATTTATGTGTACTTTGTTCTCAAGAACCCGAGTTTATATCTCATTTATTTTGGAACTGTGCATTTACACAAAATGTATATGATTATGTTTTTTCAGTTGTATTAAAAATAAACAATTGCGAGTTAAAAAATATTTATAAAACATGTATTTTAATAGAACTAAATAATCAGTGTTTTTCACATTTATCATTAGTTGAACGTAATGCAGTCATACTTCTTCTGTGTACTGCAAGATATAAAATATGGTTAGAACGTAATGCAGTTATTTTTGAAAATGTTAATCCAAGTGTAAATAGTGTCATAACAAGAATTAGAAAATCCCTTTTAGCAAGGAGAAATATAGAACAACTTAGACATAATCCTAGTTTTATAAAAGAACTAGACATAATTTGTAAGAATCTATGACTAATTGTATGAATTTTTATTTTTCTGCTATAAATTAAAAACATATAAATTAATGTATATTTACTGATGAACATGGGAAACTTTATCTGGAATCAACAATGGAATAATATGAATTGCTGGATAATACTGGATGATGTTTACGAATATATTTGTTTATTATATGTAACTATGTTCTATGATTATTATTTTTTCATCATTTATTTATTTTTACAAAACTGTTATGAATCCACAACGTGGACCTTTAAAAGAAAAAAAAAAAAAAAAAAAAAAACATTAATTTTTACGAATGTCCATGATCTTCGGTTCGTTGCTGTGGCAAAAATAATGTTGATTTTCTGGTTGTAGTCTTGGCTAGCGCCATTTTTCAATATACGGTTATTACGGTAGCCTACCGTAGCCACCTTTAGGTACGATGCATCTTGTTTCTGTCACGACGCTTTCTTGATTTGAATGAACGAATCCGATGAACGAAACGAAAGTACGCTACAGCTCACTGCCAAAGAGTTACATCATATAGAGGTACCGTACCGTACCTGTAATGCTGTACCGGTAATGTGTATGTCAGTATGTACCGGTACCGGTACGGTTGAATGATGTTGATGACTAATACTGTACCGTAATAGCAAATTAGGAGCATCTACAATTTTTTTTATTTTCTTTGTAGACTAGATATCAAGATACATCACTTTTGATTTGGAAATCGCAGCAAACTACAAAGAAATCAGGAGTACTGAAACCAGAAAATTATCTTGAGTATTCCAATTCTGTCAGGTATGAGAAATTTATGGGTCCGATACCGGTATAGTTTAGTACCACATACACTTCTAGTTGACCTGGCTCAACAATTCTTTGCATATGTTAATCCTAACCCTCACCCGACTACGTCACCGAAAAATTATGTCATTTCGACGTCACAGTGGCGTAATAAGGCCCACCAAAGTATGAGGATGGTCGTCCAAAATGCGCAGACCATCACCCGAAATCGAGCAAGCTATTTTTCTTGTTTCTCGTCACAACGATCACGATAGGAGATAGATCGCCGGCTTTAGCGAATTCGTTATCGGCGGTGCAGATGCCATTTCGGGCGATCGTAATTATAATTTGGCAAAGCCTATGACGTGATGGTGACGTCATAGTGACGTAATTTTGGGATGGCATAGTCAGGTGGGGTTAGGAATAACATATGCTAAATTCGTTATGCTACGCCCACTGGAAGTACTTGTGGTACGGTACTGAACTATACTAGACCCAAATTTATGTATGTTTTCATTATTTGTCACAAAATGTAACAGCGTCTGCATAGCTAACTAAATTCCAGGATAGCAATCATTTAATACTTTAATTTAATTAAGGTACAGTTCATTTGGGAATGATAAAGTTCTTGTGCCAGACAGATCCAGAATAAAAAAAAGTGAAGAAACCACCGTCTCAAGATTCTGTGTATTGATGTGAAAATACTGAGATGACGTCTACAAAATCCTTTGTATCGTGTTGCGCATTACTTCGACGTTGTGCAGCAAAAACTTTATCATCATATCCAATGTGTACTTCAAATTTAATAAACTCAAAACAATTACTTGTTCCAATGTCAAAAATACACGAAAGAAGTTATTCTATGACAGATGCTGGATCAACGAGTTTTGCCAAAGCGTTTGAAGAACAGGAAAAAATCAAGGAAGATTTAAATCTGATCTCAACACACAAGGTTTTTCTTCAATGTATTATTTGTCAGTCTATTGGCTTTTTTATGTATTTTAGGGGATATAAATTTAGGATTCATTTAGTCAGGTGTCCTATGCTTGCTATCAATATCTAAAGGATCCTATTTAGTAAGATTCACTTCATTGAACCCACTCCTTATTCTTCGTATTAGGTATGATAACTCATTTAAAAATTAAATTTAGTTATTGGTTTACAACTGATTTTTGCATAGCTAATTTTAAATGATTGCAATGACCAAGTTTAATGAATTCTATAAAAACCAATTTCAATGATTTGTTTTTTTGCTTTCCATGTTGGAAATTTTTTATCTTTTTATTATTCATATATATGATTATACATCCGTCCCTTTTAATCCTAATTTCTTGTTATAAACACTCCTGGATGAACATAGATGCTAAGAGATTGCAAAGGAGTGAAATTTGCATCTGCGAAATTAATCTGAAATTTTTTTTCAGTTTACTTGGCTTTCTCAGATTTGAGGTATTTTTAGGTACCAAAAGAAATAGATACAAAAACAGCCTCTTTTGCAACATTACTTCGGTATTCTTCATTTATAAGTCTGGGTGATTTTCAAGGGAAACAGTTATATGGAAGAGTTGTTGAGGTAAGCTTCATCTCATGTACTACAAAGTTATGTAGTGATTGTGATGTCCTGAAAGCGAAATAATTTCAATCTAATTATATAAGCGCATGATTCGATCAAATTTGTTATCAACCTGTTTATTTATTTCATATAATAGCGAAACAACTATCTTATATATTTAATGTGAAACCCATCGGATATTAACCATTGATGGAAGGTTACTTATATCAGCAATTTTTTAGATTCATGTTATCACAAGTCCAGTTTTGTTACATAGTGTTGCACAGATGTAAATTATTTTGAAAATCGATACACATGATAAATAAATAGGAATTCTGCTAGTCCTCAACAAAATTGTTTATAGCGCCGATCTCATTTTTGTCATCTAATATTTTTGTATCCTAATATTTTTATGAATTCAGGTGTTAGACGACAACCTTTTTATTGATTATGGTGGAAAGTTTTTATGTGTCTGCAAAAAGCCCAGGGATAGTCCTAGTGATGTTGGTCCTGGAAGCACTGTGCAAATTAAATTATTGGACTGGGAATTGTCTGCAAGGTTAATATTGTTGAATATATTTTTCTCTACGCAAGATCATACCCGCACTCTGGGCAAAGATCTCGCTTTTAAAACACTGACCTAGACTCTATTTGTATCAACATCTTTCTTTTGTGCATTTGCTTCGAAACCAGCACTGAGAATGATTAGACTAGTCGAAACTAAAAGTATTGCAAACAAATCATTTTCTTATTAAACATTTTGCTTTGCTAAAATCTAGAGCTGGAGTCTAACTATTTCTAAGTATAGAGTCAGAAGTATTGCAAACTGGATATGTTTTTCAGGTGTTCATAAAAGTCCAGTAAAACTTTTTCAGTCTTTTTTTTAACTGCCAGTGCCATGTATTATTTGTGAAAAATATATTTTGTCAGATAGTTGCCTTTACCAATTTAAAATGTTTGGAAAGTTAGCTCATTTGCCTTGAAATCCTTTATGTAATCATTGGCTTTAAAACTTTCAAACTGTTCTTGGAACATGTCATATTGAATTTCATACACCTCAAAGAAGTGTGTTTAAATCAACCGCTTGCTCAGAAGTACCATTCTTGCGTACCAGCTACTGTATTTTATTCTCTTAAGACTAAATTTTTTGTTTCACCTATTCAGGTTTCTTGGAGCTACAAAAGATATTACATTACTAGAATCAGAGGCTAGAATCTTCAAAGTGGAACCGAAGGTTTCCAGGAAAGTTAAGATGCATAGTGATAAGGGGGGATATGAATTTGAATACAAAGAGGATTAACCATAGTTTAATAAAAAAAAAATTCTTTATGATCTTCTCATTTTCATAAAATCTGGTTATGGCACACATGAAATTCATTGGGTAAAATATTGGGTTTGGGTAAGCTGATACAGTGGCTGTGTGGAACATATCTGAGGCTCATCCGTTTACGCTAATTGGTAAGCGACTTGGGATAAAATGTTGATGTTTGATACAGCCTCCACACTTTGCATTGCCATACCTCCATCACCAGTCGGTGTTTAAATTGTTTATGTTCTCATGGAGTATCAAATCATTAGTGGTTATTTTGAATTTTCTATTCCCGATGAATAATCTTGCATGATATTTACGGTCGAATTCTCGACAAAGTTATTGTTCGAATATTAACCAATAAACAAGCTACATTTGCCCCCTTTTCCAAAAGCGCTTGTTTGACATGATTCATCTTGACATTGCAGGTCCTAACCCCGTGGATGTTAATTGAGTGCAAAAGTAGTGTTTGGCGCTTCGTCAAAAATCGGCTCGACCGGCCGCGGTTTGTTTGCCTCATGATACAGCCCTCTGCTAGCCGGTCTATCTTGTTTGATTGCAAGCAAACCAGCTTAGATTGATCAGATTTATTAAATCTAATAATAAAAAGATAATTATGCAAAAACGTGATTCAATCCAAATCCTATTTTACTGCTTTCCTAGACAATCGATTCTATATAAAAAGATATACGTGACACATTGTGCGGAATCAGGAAGTCACTCTTAATATTTGGAAGTTTTCTGTCATGTTTTGGTAATTCATGATCTGATGGTCCCATCTTAGTGAGCAAAAACACTCCTGAGCAATTTAAATCTCACAGCTCGCTCTTATTTTTTACTGTCTTTTTTGCATTTCTGTTATTTTGAATGTGTGTCGCAGCATTTGTTATTTGAATTTGCAGTTCATTATTCGAACAACTTACTGCAACATAGCTTTACCCTAGCGATCTTGGATTTTTTGTTCCACCTGTAGGTTTTAAGATACTGATTTAAGTAAATAACAACTGAAAAAATGGAAAAAATTCTTTGTCGCAAGCATTTTAAAAACGTTGCACTTCAAGCTATCATATCTTTCGTACAAAGTCAGATGACGTATTCGAATACTGGGTTTAGATTGGAGCAATTTTCTTTTTAAGTACATTGAAAAGTGCAAAGAAACACGCATTATTGTATCACAGCATTGTTTGAAGATGGATGGTTACTGTAAATCACAATATTTCTTTATCCATTTGCTGCAATCAAGATTGACATCATATAAATCAATTATGCCGCCATAATATACGCTTCCAAAAATTCAAGGCTGTAACAAAACGTTATGACAATAGAATACGGTACCAGTATATAGTCAGGAAGCGAGGGGTCGTGGTGGACGTGGCATTCTTAGATTCGTTGTAGCTTATGAATTATTATAGCTGTGTATCGACATGCTCTCTTTTTTTAAATAAAGACATTATTACGTTAAAAATTAATTTGAATTATAGCATACCTTGAGAAGCCCTACTAGCCTATTCCATCTGTGAGGCCCCTTCATATTTTTGAGCTCAGAATTTCTCTCTAAACAACATCAAATGTCATTGCTCAATGTTAAAAATATTAGTGCATTAAACTCTTCGTTCTTTTCATTCTCCCCATTCACGGGCCATTAATTGAAAGAATAAAAATTTACTTAAATCAGTTTTGCTTTCAATTTTAATTTCTTTGATAAAACTTTTACAATAATTGTGAAGTTTATTTACGAGAACATAAGAAATAGTTACAGCCATCAAATAGCCCAGGGGTGGGCAAAATTATTTAATATAAGACCCGCATGCAGCAAGTCAGAAATATGTGAGAGCCGCATAATTTTTGGAATTAATAATAGTAAAAATTTTATACAAACGTATAATAACAATATTGCAAAGTATATATATATTCTTCAACCGCTTAATGAATTAAAAAAAACTGTTCCGCTAGTTCCTCTTGGTTAAATTTGGATAATATATAAATATTGTCAGTCAAAGCAAAATTATGCAAAAGTTCATCAAAATTTATCTGTTTAAGTTTGTCACTCTCAATGCTCATTGCAGACAACCTTTCTTGAGACATTGTCGATCTCAGTTAATTTTTGATGCTTTTGAGTCTTGCGAAAGATTTCTCTCCTGAGCAGTTAGTGACCATTAAGCTTAGAAACAGTCTTAATATTGCTTCCACATTAGGAAAGGCGGTATGAATTTTTTCCTAGTGTCACGGTCTAAGATGTTGCTACCGTGTGTATTGAATCAGAAGACTCAGATTCCGGATTTGTGGTTTATTATGAGGCAACTTCACAGTTAAAACAGAGAACACAGGAAAACACGTCCGGCCGCCAGCGAGGCGACCGGAAAAGAGAGCGTGAAACTCTTTTTCTCACAACTCGAGGGTGATTGTAGTCCCACAGCAACCGGACCCGGATGAAGTATACCCGAACCAAGGGTCCTCAAAAAGCATATAGGCAAATACAAAAAGACAAACTAAATTAAAACACACGGATAATAAAATCCGTGACACTAGCACATAATTTCATAAAGGTTTCCACGAGACAATGAAATAGGGTAGATTGCTCTTCTGTAGGCTACCGGTAAGCCCTTGGATTTGTGTTTGACTCACGTACGAATGAAAATGTAGTCCATCAGTAAGTCTCGGGTTAACATCTTCTGGATACGATTCCTTTAAAAGTTCTACGCCTCGTACAATTTCTACCTTAGATGCTTTCTGATTAGCAAGAAAGAGGAACATTTCTCCAATGTCACTGTACACAATAGCGCTTCTTCTTAAATTGGCTTCAAGTGCGTCGAGAATAGGGATAAATTAATAAATGAATAGGCTTCAGCCTGCCTAGTCTATTGGGAAATCCGGCCCTGCATATATATACTCGTATATTGTTTTCTAGGATTAAAGGGGTAGACTTTTTCAAATTTAGACAGATTCATTTACGCGGCCGTATTTAATGTTTAAACCTATAAAACGGTAAATATTTGTGGCAAGAATGATCAACCTAATTAAAAAATTGAACAAATAACACTTTCGTTAAATTTAAACCCTTTTTTTAACCCGGAACTAGCCTATACAATTCAAAAAAATAAAAACGATTTGAAAATGAATAAAGTTCAAAATTTAATTTCGAAGCCTAGTTTTGCTGAAATGACTCCATACAACATTCTTTTCCCTCCGTAATGAACAAACGATTCCCTATTGGCAATTCGAGTACTCGGCAGTAATTCGTATCCATGTATAAAGTGGAATGTTTGTAGTCTAGTGAAGTAGTGTCAAACTTTTTTGTGTCGTCGCCCCCTTACACTACTTTTTACATTATCACTGACTGAACACACCGACAATACAATAAAACATGAAGCCACAAATAAATTTATTGCAAATCAATTAAACAAATGAATTAATCATGGCTCATGGTGTTTTTTTAATAGAATGTATGAGTTTCAACAATATTTTAAAACTAAAATTTCAAATGCCATTTTGGTCAGGTACAATCTCAAATCCTCTCGTATGTCTGATGACTCGCAGCAAACTTTATCTTCGGTAAATTTTGTTCAAAATCGGAAACATTCGCCGCGATCACGACTTTCCAGCGGATAATGATTTTTCAGTTGCGGGAAATATGCAATTCATACGTGCATTAAAAATTAAATTATTAATTCAATTATGTTCAACGGAATGCTTCGGCTTAAGACAAATAAAAAAAAATTACTGAACTCTATAATATACCGCGGCACGGCAATTTGTGCCATGAAAAACAATGCTAATAACCGAATTGCGTAAGTCATTTTTGGCGATTATGATTTTTTATGAAATAGGTATTTATGTAATGCTGTGCACCTGTCTGTTAACTCAGATTTTATTTTAAGAATTCCGAAACCCATAAAAATGGAGATTTAGTATGACATGCACATCTGTGCAATTGTTTCGTCATAATGAATTATCATTGTTAACGCAGGACTATTGTGACGTCACAAAGGCAAAATAACTTCTGCTAAGTATTTTCGAGTTTTTGCATCTCGGATTCTAGCTTAGCGCGTATTAATTTGAATTTATACTACAGTATAGGAAGACGTGCACTTGTGATATTCACTGTCCGAGTCCTTGGTTGGCTTTTATATTGGGTGCATTGCTGTTTTTTTCTTTATATTTAATCTTAGTCTTATTTCGGTGGGTGTGCAGAACGTGTTAAGTTGATGAACTATATATTTTTAAACATAAAAAATAAAGTAATTGGAACTGATTAGCTATTTTGGGGATTAGACATTGTAGATACCGAGAATTACATTCGTTTTTGTAATGTTTAGTGTTCAGAACTGGTGCATATAGTAAAGTTGCAAAATTGCGTATGCCCCCAAGTCATAGACACATTTCTGCCTAAGTCACAGTGCGCCATTATGACGTCACTTAACTGCGTCATACAAATTAACTTAAATCCGGCGACGATCAAAAAATTGAACCATGGAAAATTATTGACTCTCAATGGAATAACAATATCATTAGGAAGTTTTTTACGTTTTTCTCAAAACTGCTAAAAATGACTTGCGCAATTCGGTTATTAGCGTGACAATATGTAAAATAATATTTTTCAATTTTATTTTATTTTAATCATATTTTAGATATGTTTTACACAATTCTGTTAATTTTCGCGGCGTACTAAGCAACTCGACATTTGGGAACTGCTGCTGTAGTGCAATCAGTGATGGGGAGCAACATTTAGTGTCACACTAGTAGCACTACAAGTCTCATACAATGGCGAAACATTACCTTATACGCCGCTGTTTCCCATGACTCATTTTGAAAATATTGTTCTAGCATGCGTGATGAAATTATTTTATTTGTGTTATCATTTTCATTTGTCGATAAAAACACTGGTTACTAAATTGAGTAAAAGATGATATCAGTATTACCAATATTATATATATATGTGAAATCAACACGACTGTGTCGGCGCGCTTGATCATTGAACCGGACATGAATAACTTATTAGCGTTTGCGTTTAAGTAAAACGAAAACTGCATTTAGAACAATGATAGAAATTGCGCGTTTCACGTACGCAGTCCGCATATGTCACGATGCGTTTTACAACATCCACCAATTTCGAATATTTGAATAGAGCATACCAGTATAGCGATATTTTACTTTAACTTGTTAGTTAGGGCTTACATATATATATTAGTGATAATACAAAATAGTTAATATTTCACTTGAGTATTAAATACAAGTTATACTATAGTTCAAGATTATCGGTCAGTCGAAGCCCACACTGCAATCTAAACCGATTTCGTGAATCTGGAGCCATATGCACACATCTATTCCTGCCAATAGCCACAAGCTACAATTTCTATAAATTTGTGTAACGAATGAATTAAAATTAATCAATTCCGACAAATAAATAAAACGAATAATTTATAGTTTGAGGTAATTCAAACAAACAGCAACGATATTTAACTGATTGTTCAAAAGCAACGTATTTCCAGTATCTTTCTTGTATCTCTCAACAGTAACAAGTTTCGTTGGTTACCAAGCCGTTGTCTCGCAGACTAACCTTTCACCTAGAAATCGAGGTATATTTGTGGTTCATTTATAAGTTTGCTTAACCAGACGTTTCTCGTTCGACGTTTGCAAATATTAGAGTTCCAAGGCTAGACTCTGCAAACACAACTTAGTACAGTGCAACGTACCATCCTTTTTTCAATTGAAAAGCCACAACTCTGTTACCCAAGGCTGCAGTCCAATTTACTTTGCAGCTATATAAGGCTTATTTCATTTATTCATTTTTTTTTTGTTATAAACAGATTTTTTGCACTTTTATAATGTGTTAAAAAATATGCAAGAAATAAACCGACCTGTTCTTTTGAGTTAACGCACGTCCACCTGTTAACTAAAGTTAGTGAAATTAACCTAATAAGCTAAACTGCTAAAGAAAAGCATGCCTTTGCGGATAAAATTTACTTACGCAACATGTGTAGAAGAACGGTATGTATATCGTATGTGGCAAGTGGAAAAGTACTAGGTACAATTTCATCTATTCGACGCACGCTGTGCGATGCGAGAGATAAAAAGACATCCATGTGAATTCCGGTGCCGAGCATATATACAGGCCTTGACTGAAAGAACGACGCAGTAAGTCAACGGTGCTCTGCTCGTGCGTGATAGTTTTATCCTAGATGGATTCATTACCTAAAAAAATTGCTATAATTGGTGCTGGATGTAGTGGTTTAGCAGCCATCAAATGTTGCCTGGATGAAGGACTAGAACCTGCCTGTTTCGACAAAGATCACGAAATTGGAGGTAAAAATTGAAATTAAAGGCAAGGTTTTACTGAAACAGTTTGTACCATAAAAAGTAAGCATTTTTAAAATGTTTTCGATTTTTTAGTGTATCCAGTGAGGGGTAAGTATTTTTAATAAATAAATAATGTTTTGAAAGAACAAATGTATTAGGTAGGCCCGAGGATCGCAGGAAAAACAGTATATATTCGTTGACCGGGTAAAATCAACCGGTTAACCACAGCGTGACGTAATAAGTTAAAATTTTACCTTGTTAGGTCACAATGTTTCCAAAGCAATTTCGAGTGATTTTATCCTGGCATTACTCGAAATTATTCACGGAGCGAGATAGTTCTATGATCGCTCTACTGCAAGGATAGGCAGCGTGTTTCGGGCATAATGAAGTATTTTATTAAAACCCAATTCCGTGAATAATAGTCATTTTTGATGGATGTCGATATGCTAATATATTCTTGTGACAAAATGCGCACTTATTGAATGGTTGCTTTTGCAATGGAATCATAAACAATTTTTTTCAAAACCAGCAATACTAGTACTTCAGTGATTATTGATATTTACCAATACAGTCAGTGATATATTTTTGAATTAGACGCCACGGGAGATAAATTTGCGGTGAACTAATCATTTTTGAAGAAATTTTACAGTATGAAGGTGATTTGTACAGTTAATGATCAAAATAAATCGTAACCGTTAACAAACTAAAATCGGTTTTCTATTCCCAATCCTAGTACTTGAATATTTAACCGCACAACTGAAAATTGTTTGTTTTTCTTTACTATGAATTTGTCAGCAAGTATATCTTCAATTTACTAAAATGATTACTTATCACTTCTGTCGTTAGATATGTCCATAATTTTATATTTTTGCAAAACGTATTCTAAGAAAATAAAACCTGGTTAAATAAAACACTTGTGTATTTTACAAAGGCATTTTTTGTAGTTTAAAATATAGTAATGTGAATGTACATAATTTGTAGGCTTACCATACGTCCCGGTTTAGCCGGGACAGTCCCGGTTTTAGCATGTTTTTCCGCCGTCCCGGCGATGGACTTAAATGTCCCGGTTTTGCAGTATGACAGTAATAATTTTTCCATTTGATATCATTACAAAATTTTGTTTTTAACGGAGGCAGCTGATTTACCCTGATTTGCGTCTCACTTCACTAACTAGTTCAGATAGAGAGAAAAATTGTTATGTCATAGTTGTGATTTGAAGTATGAACCGCGCGGTAATTTAACACCCAACTGTACTGTCGTTGTATCATCAAAATGACGGAAGCAAAGTGCAAGTTTTGTAATGAGTTGAACGATTTCCAATGTTTGAAGCAACGAACAATAGAGAATAGTTTAATAGGATTTACAGCTCATTTTGATGCCCGTAATCTACCCACAATGGTATGGAAAACCTTTAAACTATTACTAAGCCTTTGGAATCGAACCAAAGTTGGCTTGTCCAATCCGCGCCGTCCCGGTTTTTTGTTTCAGAAATATGGTAAGCCTAATAATTTGGTACTCCCGTAGTGTGTGTATCAGGTTAGGTTAGGCCATAATTTTATTCCGATTTTCCTTATTTTAGTTCTATTACGAGTTCGGGGAATGTCTGTGTTAGCCAAACGAATATACCCCGTGCCCATAGGTTTCAGTTGAACAAAGTTAGTTACCTCCATATTGGTACACTCGTAATTTTATAGTTTTAGGTCAAGCCACACCCCAAGCAATTTACTCTGTGACTTTAAATAAAAATGCTGAATGTTTAATCGCTGCATAAAAGAAACAAGTGTACGGAAAAGTTGAATGAAAAACTAGATAACTACCAAACCAAACCTGCGCTCAGTGACTGACCTCGAGCGTTTCAAAGTCAAATCACCAGACCGTATAGGTTCCGCTTGTTACCTCATAATAGTATATTATCAAGCGTTCTTTGTGTTTTTCTATTGTTAGGTCTATGGCGATATGAAGAGGGCGAAAGAGACGCAGCAACGGTTTACCAGACTACCGTCATCAACAGCAGCAAAGAAACCCTTGCATTCTCCGACTTTCCCATTCCAAAAGAATATCCAAATTTTATGCATCACACAAAAGTGATGGAATATTTCAATCTTTACGCTGAAAAGTACGATAAAGTATCTATTTTAATTTCTCTCAGATAGAATGCAATCTGTTTGAAATGTTCTTCCTATTTTCAAGTGAAAGTGCAACCCAAATTCTAGCATTTGTGCAATACTTAGATGTATTATCATGTGTTTATTCGTGCCATTGCCATTTTGAAATGAAAGAATGATTTTGTAACATTTAATGGCGAGTACAATTTTTTTTTTTCGAGTTATGAGCAGATAGTATTTATTTATCATTTTTATTTATTCTGTTTTATAATATTATGGGATATTTAGGGCATTATTTGCCCCATAAACGTATCACGTATATCTTGTTGGACACGTACCGTGTTGCCCCAAAAATAAGACCTAGCCTGAATTTTAAGGATGATTTTAATATAAGCCCTCCATTTAAAATAAGACCTAGTCAATGGCGCGAATTTTTTTCACCTATACAATAGCAAGAAATCTCTCCTACACGTTTTAAGTTATTAATCTAAAACGTGTGAGAGAGAAAAACGTATCATTTAAGTATATAAATATCGGTTTTAATATTTTTTATATTAAAAAATTTCGTAATTCTCTACTTTGTAATTTTGTTTTTGATAAATGAGAATAAAAGACATCCCCGAAAATGGTCCCTAGTGTTATTTTTCGAAAGAAAATTGAAATAAAACACTGTCTTATTCTCGGGGAAACACGGTAGTGGACCTATAAATCGTTTTGTTATTATGTTTGTGTTTTAATTGTTCATGGGATCTTATATTTCATCTCAAATTTTGGTCTATTATTCTTTACTCATGGGAATACTGTTTGTGCCCTTTTTCAAGTGGTTGCGCGATTGAATATTAGGCCTACAGCTACAGTTCCGGTGCTGGTAAGCAGTGGCGCAGCCAGGGGGGGTCGAAACCACAATATCAGATATTGAGATTTTCTAACGGCGATAACGAGTTCGCACGATTGCAAAAATACGTATCAAAATTAAATACATCAGGCAGTTTATTTCATATTTTTATGTCCACAGATTGCCGTGGTATTATAGGGTAGACATGTCTTCATTTCGACGTCAGAAAACGCAACCGCGAGTTACGTTGGACACAATTAAATTAATTTAAAAGGACATTTTAGAATCTCGTAGTTGTCATGGATTGAATATTTTAAGCTACAGAAAAATAACTATACGCTGAAACGACTCCCCTTTTAACGAGCACGTAATCGCGGTGACTGTTACAAACGGGAATGGAAAGTTACGATTTTGAACCCCCCACCGGCCCGTCCCCTTTCCTGGCTGCGCGCCTGCTGGTAAGTTACCGTACCGCATATGATATTCGGGGCATTGATGATAAAATATTTTGTTTTCTCTAAGTGTCCATATATTTAAGCATCGATCTCTTGTTAATAGTGCAGTTATATTTCTTAAAATTCGTCTAATATATATGATCATTTGATTGGAATAAAAATCTTTTTTTTCATGCTTTGAAACTCAACGGGCTTTAGAGTGGTTTATATTTTAGATTTTACCTCCGAAAATATATCAGCTTGAATACAGAAGTGGTCAACTGCTGTCCAACCGCGGATTTCAAGGAAACTGGAAAATGGTATAATAGCAAATAGTTGTTTTTTACCTAATTTTTACGAAAAAAATTGATCTAAATCACTTGTGCCATAATTATTCTCTTTGTGAATTGAAAGATCAGACCTTTCGAATGTAATTTGTCGTCAGTATTTGTGAAGGGTTATTATTCTCTTTGTAAATTGAGAGCTCAGACCGTTTGACAGTGGTTTGTCGTCAGTATTTATGAAGGGTTAAAGGTTATTACCACTAATAGTTTGGTCGACTTTAATTGATCCTCTACCCGGTACGCTTTCAGCACCACGAACCACGTACATTTCAGCATAAACCTTTTATTATGATAACTCTTCCCAAACCTTTATCCCATTGTATTTATTCGATTGTATAAATATGTTGCATAAAGGAAATACAACATGGGCGGGCACGAGCTATTAAACAAAAACACTGCTTTGTATTCCCAAAAAGTGTCTCTGATGTATTGGACAAGATTATTTCAAAATTGTATCTTTTTGACCATTTTATGTATATCACGTTTATAAATTTTTAAATAAATATTGAAAAAGATCAACAACATGACTTTGAGTATTTAGTATAGTTGTTCGTCGTATTTTGATCATAGCAACGCCCGTATAGGTCTGTAAGCTAAGTGCCAGTTGGCGTTTTTCGTTTCGGCGTGGATCAATAAAATTGAATGAGAAATTTTGCAAAAAATTTGCAAATTTCGCAAAAAATAATTTGGAAGTTAAACTCGTGTTTAACATGGCTTCACTTGTATTTACGTGGTGAAAATTGAAATAAAACTCCAACCATTAAATGAATTTATCATTTTATGAATTAAAGGCAGCTGATTCTGAAAAAAGTTCTTGATGGAGGCACGGAGAACAGAATCTTTGATGGCGTCATGGTATGTGTTGGACACCACGCTGTGCCTTATTATCCATTGCACGATTTCCCAGGTGTGTATATTATAACTTGATCCAGTAATATATGTGAACTATTTAATATATAACTAATACTACATAACTGAACTGACTACCGAGTTCTCTGGTAGAACTTTTTTCTGTTGTTGTTTTTCTATTAAAAAAATTTGCTCAAAGCAAAGTCGCGTGCACTTACTCATTATCAAAGGAGACTCATCTATGAGGAAATTTATGAGCAACGATGATTAAATCTGTGAGTTTCACGTAATCGAAGGCTCTAGAAAACTTTTTTTGTTGTTTAGTACACACTGCCGGTAAATTAATAACAGCTTTCGATAGTCTATAAAATTGTAAAGAAAAAATTAATGTTCATTATTTTTCAGGTTTTAACTTTCATTTTCGGCAACCGCCATTGATCACCAATAGCAAAAGTATTGACTTTTAATGAAATACGACTAAAAGAGTTCTTTATTTTGTGTAGGTGTGGAAAAATTTCAGGGTAAAAAGATGCATAGTCGCTCATATCGCACTTCCACCCCATTTGAAGGAAAACGTGTAACTGTCGTGGGGATGGGAAACTCTGGTTGCGATATGGCTGTAGAATTGAGTAGAAATGCAAAACAAGTAAAATTAATATTTTCTCAAAAGCTTTTCAATGGTTTAGTTTTAACATTTTTCACACAGCATGGTTTATTAAACTAAGGCTTACATCTATGTCAGTAGAGTTTCAAAGGAATAAGAAATAACTTTAGAACTTTTAATATACTGTATATATATATATCAATTTACTGTAAGAGAGTGGTGAGGTATATGAAGTCAATTGTTGAAAAAATTGCTTCATCGGCGTTTCAACGGGACTCTTTGACTATATATATAATAAACCAGCCCTAATCCGACAAAATTTAAATAAAAGTAGTTATCCAAACCCGAGTAACTATTTTTTGCAGTCATATAATCATTTAAATATTACCCAATTTATAGAATCTATCAATCTTGACAGTTAATGTATATCGTAACTAAAAATCTTTGGGTTTGCTGTTTTCGATAAATACAGTTTGAGCTCAATCCAAAGAGCCTAGCCAGGCTCACAACACTTCCAAATTTCATAATTGATAAATTGGTTGGAGCTCGATCTGACCAGCCTAACTGGGCTTAAAACACTTCCAGACTTTTTAAATGAAAAATTGTCGTATTTCTTACGTACAAGTCTAATAACAGGCCAAATGCTCGTTCAAAATGTTGCTTTTTTTAATACAGCGTATCAATATCTTCCGATGCTCTTGGTTTAATTTGCATTGGCTTACTGTAATTTTACCTTGGAACGTGACCGAGTTATAATTAACACGATTTGTATCGTAGATATAGTTTCTAATGACAAATAGAATGTTGTAAAAAGTTTATGTAATGTTTCTATAGTTTGCCCCGCGGTAGTTAATGTCGAAATTTTTTAAAAGTGCTTATTGTGGCAATTCACCAAAAACACGGTTTGTCTATAATAAGAAAAAAAAAATCATTTGATTTTCACGTGAATGAGATGTGGGCTTGGGCTACAAAAATTAGAAAAGTCATGTGAAATTGAAAGAAATACCAAGTATATAATTACTTTCTAATTAGATTTCACAAACCTACATTAGTACTTTATATAGAATCTCGAATAATTTTTTAATATACTTTACCCAAAGATCCAAAACAACACATGAAATGTTACGAAAACTACTATATTTTTATAATCGTATTTTCTGAAAATATAGTTATATATTTAATAGTTATGCATTTTAACGAAAGGTGTTGCTATCATATCTCCAAGTCGGTTATTTGAAAGTTTCCCGGCATAACTAATATATTGCGGTATTAGTTCATAAAAGTCGCCACTCTCACAATGAATGAAGCCTTGTGTTTTCCTTGTGTTCTCAACGAAGATGAACTCAATTAATAATGTATATATATAGGTTAAAAAGTTGATGGATTTTAAACAGTAGTTAGAAAAATTAGATTTAACAAGGGTAGAATAGTATGTTTGTCAGTGCACGAAAACGTTACATTGGACAGTAAAATACGCTATAGGAATGTTGATGCAGCCGAAATACCGGAATCCGAGTAAATAACTTAGCCATTGGGTAATATAAGAGGCTACAATGAACTACCGCTGAACTATCCCAAATGCAGTGTGAAGAAAGTACATTCTAGCCCTGTTTTGCATGCCGTCAACACATTTAAGTGAAAAAATGGCGAGTTCTGCAATGCTCATTTCAAATATAAATATATATATAAACGGCTAATTATTTGTATTCATTCTATGACTTCATTCTTGCATTTTTTGGGCAAAATATTCTGAAATCAAGTGTTTACACAATAATTAATCCATGCATCCATTAATAAAAAATATTTGGCTAACTAACACCATACGCGACACAGACTGGTAACAGGACGAGAGGCCGTGGTTCGCAATATGATCAAGCCGTCTTAAAGACTTTCCTCTCTCCCGGGATAAATATGTAAATCCTGTCCTAATCTAGCACTATCTTCATTATTCTGCTATAGGTTTACTTGAGCACAAGACGGGGAACATGGCTTTTTAGTCGAATCATGGACAAAGGGGTCCCCTTCGATTTCCTACTCATAACAAGGTATGTTTTGGACTGGACCAATTGCTTTTCAGTGATTAGTATTTTATTGTTCGCTATCAAGCTGTTACTTTCATTTATTTTCAAACTTTCTGTAGGCTTTAGGTTATTCGTTTTTTATTTCAAAATTTAGTGTGGTGATCTCTTCCAAATTAATGAAAATTATTTGTAGCGCTACTGCGACCGTTTCCTTTACCGTATCATACAGTAGACGAGGTAAGGTACTGTTAAAGGTAAGGTAGACTACTGCTTCTCTTTGATCTCCGTGTTCGTATATTTGAGCATCGATCTCCTATTCACCAGTGTTTTTAAAGAATTTACAATAATATTGTTCTTCAAACGGCTGTGGTTGGATCAACGGTATAAGTCGTCTCCTCCTATGTTACCATCAGCATGCTTGTTTCATAACGCTGATTAAGAACATCACAAATTCTATTTCAAGGTTCACTTCTTGGTTGATGTTAAATCTGCCTTCTCTTATGAATCCTTTATTTGAATCGATTCTGAACACCAGATTTGATCACGAGAAGTATGGAGTTAAGCCGAAACATCGAGTTCTTTCCCAGGTGCGTGATATTATGTTTTCGTATTTACCTTTATTTCAAAATGAGCACCAATGTCTCAAACGAGAATATCGGTCAGAGACCGAAGACTTATCGATTGGAAGTTAGGGGATCCCCGAAACAGTGCTCTTACTCCATAGTGACACCTCGTGTCCCATCACTAATTAATTAATAACTCGCTAATTATACGACGTAATTCATCCAAAATCAATAGGCTTCTGGTCCCACATATGATGAATGAACATGCAAAATCTGGAGCAGATTCAATCTTGTTTTCGTGAGATATCGCGTGCATCTAACAGACAGACAAACAGACAAACACCTATCAACATACTTACCGATTAAAATCGATAAGTAACAAGCGTCTTGGAATCCCAATTGGTTTCGGTTAAACGGCTTCGTTGCATTGAAAGAATCGCTGTGATGATTTTCACAGCAGCACTGGGAATACCATGGTACAATTTGGTTATTTAAGGGGCATATTTTAAACATATATTATGCCGGTTTACGAAAGACTTTAATTTGGATTCCTCGCATGTAGATCAGAGGCAAACATTTTGACGACGTTTTGAAGATAGACGATTGAATGCATCTGTCATCTATTTTACTCCCCTACTAAAGTGAGCAATAATCACCCTCGTAAGTATTGAATGTGAAAAAATTGTATATATTTGACAAATTATTTCAGCATCCGACTATTAGCGACGAGTTACCTCATCGCATTGTTAACGGCACCGTCATTCTGAAACCGAACGTGACAGAATTTACAGAAAATGAAGTCATTTTCAAAGACGGAACCAGAGAAAAAATTGATGCAGTAATTTTTGCTACTGGTTTTTCTTTCGAATTTCCGTTCTTGGACAGGAACATAATTGACGTAAGTTACTTATCGGACAAAGACTACTAGTATATATATTTGTTATTGGCTGCACAGGCCAGCTGCCTTTCCTATACTGTATGTTATAGAAATCTGTGTTTTGACGTAGACGTGGTTGAATTCGGGAAAATATATTTTTTTATGATTGTTTGTGTGAGTATATCGTCACGCTAATAACCGAATTGCGTAAGTCATTTTCGGCGATTTTGAGATGCTGCGCACCTAACTCAGATTTTATTTTAGAATTCCGAAACCCATAAAAATGGGGATTTAGTATGACATGCACAATTGTGCAATGAATTATCATAACGAATTATCGTTGTTACCGCAGGACTATTGTGACGTCACAAAGGCAAAATAACCTCTGCGAAGTATTTTCGAGTTTTTGCATCTCGGATTCTAGCTTAGCGCGTATTAATTTGAATTTATACTACAGTATAGGAAGGCGTGCACTTGTGGTATTCACTGTCCGAGTCCACCTCGGTTGGCTTTTATATTGGGTGCATTGCTGTTTTATTCTTTATATTTAATCTTAGTCTTATTTCGGTGGGTGTGCAGAACGTGGTATATTGATGGAATATATATTTTTAAACATAAAAAATAATGTGATTGAAACTGTTTAGCGATTTTGGGGATTAGACATTGTAAATACTGAAAATTACTTTCGTTTTTGGAATGTTTAGTTTTCAGGACTGGTGCATATAGTAAAGTTGCAAAATTGCGTATGTCCCCAAGTCATAGACACATTTCTGCCTAAGTCACAGTTCGCAATTATGACGTCACTTAACTGCGGCATACAAATTAACTTAAATCCGGCTACGATCAAAAAATTGAACCATGGCAAATTATTGACTCTCAATGGCATAACAATATCATTGACCAGTACCGTATTCTACGGTACAGAAGTATTGAATCCTATTTAGACAGTAATAGTTGGCACTAAAACAAACACAACACACACATTCTGACATTTGCAAACCCAAATCTGCATATCGCCCAACTATCCTGCTTCCGGTACGGTAACAATAACAACTGACGATAACCAAGAAACGGACAAAGAGCATCGCTCAAAGTCCAATTTTACAAGTCGAAAGACAAAGAATCGGATGGCGTGATAATTCACGTGATTGAATACCGCCTCTTATTGGCTGCTGTCTTTTAGCAGTGTGCGCACGCAGTGTTATATACTGCCCCGCCCCCAATGCCTGTAATATTTACCGTTTTTTTTTCGTAAAATCCGTTACCGACTCATTTTTGTAATTTTTTACCCACAAAATGAGGGTAAAATTTACCGAACATTTCTTAGAGTGTTAGGAAGTTTTTTACGTTTTTCTCAAAACTGCTAAAAATGACTTACGCAATTCGGTCATTAGCGTGATGATATAATACCACAACGGTAAGATAGTTTTTTTTTCAATGATTCATTGGATTTCAGTTGTTAACCATTTAACAAGATTGAGTAGAATAAGCTATTATATCAAATTATGTTAAAAGCCACAATTATCTTTATTGTCTCTAAATCCGTCTATATAAATTGTAATCAACATTGGTTATAAGTCATCGATGATGCCGTGACGATCCTCCGGGTCGAAACCTATTCTATGCTAAATAATGGCGTGTCAATATACTTTTATAAATAATAAAAACTTGATCGGTTACTCACAGACAACCAGTAATCAATCAGGACTCTATCGGCTGGTGTGGCCTATGAACTTGGAACAGAACACTCTAGCCGTCATCGGTCTTGTTCAACCGCTCACTGTAATTGGTCCATGCTCTGAAATTCAATCAAGATGGGCAGCAAAGGTTTTTAAAGGTATTTTGATGTCTATTCTGCGCACTGTTTTATATTTCACGACTTGTTACTTAACCAATACTTGGCCGGAAAATAGAATATAGCTCTTACAAAAAAAATGGTTGATTAGATTAGCGTATGCCTAACTACTGCATCTTCCCTGCTGCCTTTGTGCAAGTGCAGAAATTTCCAATGTTTTTTGATAAACCCTTTTTTATTTCTATTTTGGACCCTTTTATTTCTTCCTCGATAAATTAGTATTGTGGCTTTTGCACAATTTGATTAGTTTATGATATATCGATGAATACATATTACAATAATACCAAATAATTTTTGGTGAAATTAGACAAAATACAAAATTTATCCACAAGAAAATCCAGATTGGGAAAGAAATTCCAACTTGGTTGTTGGAACGTTTTGCTAGTGGGTCTGTATACACAAGCCATAAGGATACTATGTCAGCTATATAGAGTTGTTCATTTGTCTTGTATCAGATTTTTTGACAAACGTTATACCGTAATGTTCTGACCTAGGTCAGTCTTATTCGAACAGCAGCTCACAGCAGTAATAGGAAAGTAACATCTTTGAGTTTGAAGTTATGAAACATTAATTTAAATAGAATTTCAATTTCACAGCATAAATACGAATTAGAATAATTTCTCGCAACGGAGTATATCATAATTGGCTTAAGAAAAATTGTCATGAAATGGCTGAAATAAAGTTCCGAATCTAACTAAAGGTATCATGTATAAATTCAGGTGGCTTGAAACTGCCTTCAAATGAATTAATGAAAGTGAATTATGACGAAATGATGACTGAGATGAAAAAAAGATACCTTTGCAGTCATCGATATACTATTGAGGTATGAAAAATAAAAGAGGAAAATATGAATTTATTTAACATGCACGTTCTGCAAGTACTGAAAAGTAATAGCCTGGGAATGGATATTGTTGAATCCGCCGGGGAAAAAACACTATAACGAGGGATGTGGAGTGGAGAATTTTTTTTTACATACATACAAATTATTATTTATTTACACTTACAGGTAGATGGAGTTACTTACATGGACAGAATTGCAGAGGAATTATCATGCAAGCCGAACCTGTTCAAACTTTTCATCACGGATCCATTACTTGCGTGGGAGGTATGAATTCTACAAGTTTGGTCCAAGAACTTGTTTAAACTGAACCATCTATAACAAGATTTCAGTTCGTTATTGGACACCAAGTGTACATACTGATCGTTTTGTTATTATGTTCTTGTTCATCATCCTGATAGTATTCCTTTCCTTCTTCTTGTTGTGAAAATGTCTCTTTTCTATTAATTACTGAACCAATTGCTTTAAAATTTTAGGTGATCACAGATTGTTGTTGTCGCTAAAAGGCTATTACTTTCATTTATTTCAAACTCTGGTAGTAAACACTTTAATATATTGCGCGGACGAATATAATCTATTCTCTGTTCAAAGTTTTATTTCCTGATCCATATTCCTGTTTCACAAGGATGCCTTCACAAGGATATGTACATACCGGTATACGCAATATGTGTATATTAATTTCTTACAGAATATTTGATAGAACTGGAATTTTTAAAGTGGTATTTTATATTTTTAGGTATTGTTCGGACCATTCACCTGCGTGCAGTACCGGCTGACAGGGCCTGGTAAATGGGAGGGTGCTCGAAAAATTATTATGGCACATTGGGGTCGCATGTGGTTCCCGTTGTCGGGAAAAGAAGAAAAACAACGTCAGTCTTTCTGGATGAATATGCTTATCATAGCGTTCGCTTTTTGCGCTATTGCTTGGATTATATAAATCATTGTCGATTAGGTAGAAAGCATGCATGGCGTTGCTAAGTTTCTAATACTGTAAGCCTTATAGTAGGTAATAATATATAGGCATATTAGATAATTAGAATTTTGACGAAAGTGGATATTGTTGTGAAGAAATTGAATTAGAAAAAGTTTTAACAGAACTTTTTGTGATTTTATTGAAAAAAAAAAAAGATTATTTAATTAGAGTTTGCTGCAGTGATTACATTATCTACAAAGAGTCATCATTTAAAACAGGTTAGTCCAAACTGCGGCCCGCCGACACATTTCGTGCGACCCGCAGAACAATTTTAGCGTACACTATACTGAACCATTGGCAGATATTTGTATTTATTAGCAGAATAATTTTAATTATTTTCAAACTATTCCAACTAAGGGTAGTCCTTTTCCTAATTCCGATGTCGGGATTGATGTTTGTTAAAATCACGGAATTTCATTGTTGTACACATAAACGTCAAGACGGGCCTATATGGCCTTGGTTCTCAACCACTGGTGGAAGCTTTTCGAGTGGTACGCGAGCAGCTTTAAAATTTTGCAACAATCAACTTTTGAGTTGGTTAAGATATGACGACAACGCCTTATCCTCCATACCGTATGCATTCCATGAACGGGTTTATAGCGCTGCCAGTTCTTGTCTTGAGATTGCCCTCGACCGCTACTTCCCACCTAAAAAAACGATGATTAAACCCTTTTAGCTCTGGTGGCAGACGACGCAAATGCTCTCGCGATTTTGCACGCAATTATCACGTTATTACTACATAAAATAATACGTTGAAACTTTACACGAAGGTCTAAGATGGATGTAGTGCCATATTAAATGCTACCATAGCGCGTGTCTTTTGTCATTGGTCCCCACCCCAGAAGGGAGTTCTGTCGGTGGTACGCGACCAGAGTAAAAACACAAAAGTGGTACGCAATCAGTAAAAGGTTGAAAACCATTGCTATATTGGAATGCCGTCCTGTGAGTGGTAAAAGAAGAATGAATTGTCTTGTGCAGACAGGACCAAGCCCATGAGATGCGCTTGCGTCAAGTAACTCCTCATTTGAAGAGACGTTTAGTGCCCTCATTTTAGTCAAAACACTCCTCTGTTCTCAAACGCTGGTCATGTGACAGCAGTGACAAACCGCTGAGCTGACTCAGCGCCACGCGATCCAATTTTGTTTTTTTATCTGGGTCTGAGGTCCCAACTTGGACGGACTTAGTTGTTTTTTGACGGTAGCACTAGGCCTGCTCACGCTCATTTTTTCAATTATAACAATTCATCATACAATGAGTGTAGAAAAAAGGTGACCGAAGCAAACTGAAAGGAAACGCATTACCTTACCCACAACAACGTTAAACCACAGTGTCTGGTGTGTGTTTCAAGTAATATCCTTCACGAAAAAATATAATTTTAAGCGACATTACAAAACCAAACACGAAAAAAGAAACCGATAAATACCACGATATTTCTCGTCTATCTTGTCTTCTGTAGGAGTGATGTTAGGTGTGTATATTTTTATGTTGCCATAGCTGCATAGCACATGACAGAAGTATGTATATCTGATCCAAACCCTAACTAGATAATTCCTAATTTTATATGAGCGGGGGCGGGGTCTTTGTACAAAATCTTCCAAATTTTAGGCCCCTTGTACGCACTAAAGAAGTTATTGAACTAATTTATCTTTCAACTAATCGAGACACGTGATAAAGATCAGACTATAGAGCAGTGGTTCTCAACCTGTGGTACACGTACCAGTAGTGGTACGCGGGAGCTTTTTAGGTGGTACGCGAGCAGCTTGAATTATTGCAACAATTACATACTAAATGAATTCGCTAAACGGGTTTATAGGGTTGGGTTACCAGTCCTTGTCTTTAAAGATCGCCCCCGCCCGTTACTACCTACTTAATAGGGAACGAGAAGGGAACGTTTTCACCCGTTTTACGTGTTACGCCCACAATGCATCTGCATTAAGAAATCTGCAACGAAGGGAGCGTTTTGTGGGAGTGTTGGACGCGTGTCGAGATACCCTAATAGTGCCCCATTACAGCATAAAGGTGCTACTATGTGTTGGATGATCGGCATAATCTCGATTTTTGGGGTTAATTGAATTTGGAGACTAGATTAGGCAGTTCGTGATAGCGGCTAGTGACGACCAAAGTGTATTCGTCCGAGATTTGCCCTAATTCGATTCGTTTTGCGATGATTAAAGCATTTCAGCTTTGACGGTTGACGACGCAACTTTTCTCGCAATTTCGCACGTATTTAATACGTTGTTATTGCATATAATTATTACTTTGAAACTTGCATGAAGATCTAAAAATGGATGTAGTGCTAGTGCCCCATAAAACACTACCATAGCGCATTTCTTGTGCCATTGTCCCCACCACAAATGGGGTTTTGTCGGTGGTACGCAGCCAGAGTAAAAAACTCGAAAGTGGTACGCGGCCAGTAAAAGGTTGAGAACCGCTGCTATAGAGGGTTATCATTTTCTGTGATCAGACCTAGGGTATACTCGTTTCAAAAGTCGAGTAAAAGCCACCATGACACTGAATTGTTGTTGAATGTAATGAGAAGTAACTTTGGGTAACGTGAGATCATGTAGTCAATAACTGTTCCCAATCAACATTGAGTTTTTGTGCATTTATTACCTGATTGATATCAAGCAGCTAAGATAATTTTGCACGCGTAACTGAGCACACATCAGCGATTATTTTGAGATATATTATGATGTCAGTATATAGTAGGCCTATACATTTATAATTAACGTTTAGAATATTTTATGAATAACAATAATAACTTAATCAGTTTTCATGCATAAAGAAACACATAACAAATTCTGATATTTAATAAGTCTTTCTCTACATCAATCATCTTTCTACCTAAACTGTTTTTCAATAATATAAAAGGATGATATTTGATTTGTAAAACTATCGGTGGAGAGTGTAGTAGTATCAAACATTGCTCTGTACGCATTACACAACTTTAAATACAATCCAAGCAATTACGCAAATCAAAAACGCTATGATGAGCATGTTCATCCAGAATGGCCGACTTTGTCGTTTTTCTTTTCCAGACAACGGGAACCACATGCGATCCCAATGTGCCATAATAATTTTTCGAGCATCTTTCCATTTACCAGGCCCTGTCAGTCTGTACTGTACGCAGGTGAATGGGCCGTAAAGCACCTATGGAAATAAGAACGAATTTATTCCAATTGTCAGTGAAAAGAACAAATAGGGAATTGTGTGATGTTTATCATTATTTATATTTCTGGGGTTATGTCAATACAATGATTGACCAAAAAATCAAAGATAAAACCAATTGCGTCATTCAATAACATATTTATTTGCATTTTTATGCAATTTACTGTATTATATAGCTCAAAGTAAAGTAAATTTTCAACTTAGTTGGGTTGAGATCTATATCTTTTATTTCATTTAATGTGACCTTCGAACTATTTGAGTTATTTTTGAATTCCGATTGCCTGAAGCATCCTTAAATAAATCCCATACCTTCCACGCAAGTAATGGATCCGTAACAAACAATCGTAACACATCTGGCTTGCATGATAGTTCTGTTGCAATGCTGTCCATGTATGAAACTCCATCTACCTGCAGGTAAACGGATTTATGCTATTACTAACAAACATGCAAATATCAATTGTTTATCTCCTCATGGCGCTTATCACGCAATATCTCCTTCCATTTGCCGCAAGGCAATTTTTTGGCGGCAATGCATAAGCACTGTTTTGAGTATATGGGCCAAACCTAGGCATATCCGTCACGAAATATTTATCCATGTTCTTGACTCCGTATGAGTTTAAATTTTATTTTAGAATATTTACAAACCTCAATTGTGTGGCGATGACTATCAAGATATCTTTTTTTCATTCCAGTCATCATTTCATCATATTCGACTTTCATTGATTCATTTGATGGCAGTTTTAACTCGCCTTAAATACATGTAAACTTAAACAAAGTCATCATCTATTCTCGACCTATTTTTGCATGCTCGTTCTTGAGCTTGACGTTTATTCACGAAACAAACAACAATTTATGGTTTTCGCCTAAACGCTTTGGTGCTGTAGATGAAACTGAGAGAATTATATTTTCTTAACAACATTCTAAATGTTTTATCGATACATAAATCTAGAAAACGCTGTATTGGTATGACGTATTCGATTAATTCCACCCCCAGTCATATATTCTCATTTTTACAGTTACGTCGACCATATTTGAAATTATTGCAGACATTGGGATTTCGAAGTCTAAACAAACGTACGGTTGTGACTATTATTACCTTTGAAAACTTTTGTTGCCCATCTTGATTGAAGTTCGGAGCACGGGCCAATTACGGCAAGAGGCTGAACAAGGCCAATAACGGCTAATGTGTTTCGTTCCAAGTTCATAGGCCATACTAGGCGAAAAAGTTCTGATTCGTGGTTGGTTGTCTGTGATGAAATATTGTTTACTAAAACATGTTTGAATGAATATACCGAAGCTTGGAGATCATTATACAAATATAACTTAGACCAAGCTCCTCATATTTGCCTTGTATGCACGAGCCGATACGTTTTATTAAAAATAATATCTAATAAATGAACGCCTCAATGCTTACAATTTTATATAGAACATTTCATCAGTCTCTTTTTGTAATATCAAACAGAACAATGAAGAGTCTGAGTTAATTGTTTTGTTGTTGATAATTTCATATATTTCTGAAGTCTCAAATCGGTGTAAAATTTTTCCCTTGGGCAGAATACGGTCAATCAACATCAAGGTTTTTGCGATCAAAATACATTGCAGTGTAGTAGGAGTAATTTTCTTTAGAGACTAGGTTGAAGTCACATTATTAATATACTTGAAGTGAACAAAGATGGGATCAAACCTTTTATGACATAATGTAAAATTTATCAGAGTAACAGGGTCCTATGTCCCAGACTAATAACCAATTTAAATGAAAAGTGCATGAGTCATAATATATTTAATAGACAACATGGCCGCGTGGATGATCATGGTTATTGTTCAAAAATTAGTGTTTAATAAAGTCGGAATATAGATATATTCGATTCCAGACGTAATATGTTCAAACCTACTTTAATATTGCCGAGCATGTTGGAAAAAGTCATGACGAAGCTCAGGATTATGCTGCAAACAGCGAAAAATTGCAAATATGGAAAAATCCACCTTACAAAATCTAAATTATTATTCCAAGCGCAAAGTTATCTTACGTCAACCACACATTTGTCTAAGAACGGAAATTCGAAAGAAAATCCTGTTGCAAAAATTACTGCATCCATTTGTTCTCTTGTTCCGTCACTAAATATAACTTCAGTTTCCGTAAATCCTGTGATGTTAGGCTTCAAAATAACAGTGCCGTTAGCAATCCTGTTTGGCAGTTCGTCGTTGATTGTCGGATGCTGAAAATTGTTAATTAAATTTTCAAATTTGTATAATTTAAAATACATTTTGAGTGGCTTTAAAACGAAAAAAGTAAGAGGTATAAAGACACTGTGTAATATAATCCATTCAAAAGTGACCAGCCTAGTGACATATCAAAATAATGACTTTACTTATGCTACTATATGCTTATGGACCATGCTAGCCATGGAAGTGTCAAGTATTGGATATTCAAAAAAGGTGTGAACGAAAAATATTCAACCTGTGAAAGTACTCGATGCTTCGGCTTGAGCCCATATTTTTCGTGATCAAATCTGGTGTTCAGAATCGATTCAAACAATGGATTCATGATGAATGGCATGTTTATCATCAACCACGAATTAAGCCTGAATATATTTTTAATCATGTTATGGTATGTTTCGTCATCAAGCCCATGTTGCTAATAGTAATATCGTCGAAATAAAACAGCTGTAATATACAGATATATGCATTTGTTGCAGTGGTATTTATTACATATGGGATGCAGCATTAATTTTATATCGAGAATTTTATTGATCAGCGCTAGTTATGAAACTGATATAAACAAGCAAACCTGGTAATGGCGAGAAAGTCAAACGGAACACCTTTATCCATGATGCGATTAAAAACCCAAGCTCCCCGTCTCGTACTCAAGTAAACCTGTGAGAAAAATGAGAGGATACTGTCATTAACATGTTTCGATAAAATGTTTGTGGGAAGGAATATATAGAAATGACATGTTCTTTCTGTTTCAAATTCTTGCATGTTTTGATAAAGTACGGACCAAGCCACAGAGGGCTTAAGCAACACGAAAAAAAGTTTTGAAGATAATCAATTTTAACTAATGTGTATTTCTCTGAAACGTCTTTAACGTTAGACGACTCATATTTACAAAAATTCGTGGATTATGAGTTGTTTAACATGCTATTTCTAGATTTTATGGTTTGAAAAAGCACGAGCTGCCCATTCTGTTTCATTTAATCTGCCGAGCCATGTTGTGGTATTATTTGACAAGACTGAGAAGCAGTAATTCAAGTTAGTAAAAGTAAAATATGCGCTACAGGCGAAAGTATTCAGGTTAAACAACAACAACCAATTCCATTTTTTCTCTATAGAGGTTACCAGAAATAAGTACTGCTAATTTTTTGCTAATAACTAATAACATTGCCGTTGCCACAATCCGCTTAGCTCGGAAGTAACTGAAAGTTGCTGAAATGGATTATTAAATTAAAAAGTATAAAAATTTCTGGTAAACAAATGTCATGTCAGTGATAATTACAGTTTGAATCACCACAATAACAATTCCCACGAAAAATCAATCCTGTATATCACGTAGGCACGGCATTGAAACCTAACATTAATTTTTTTGAGAGGCAGCAAATCAAGTTTACTTTTCAAAGCTTATACATTCTATTGGTCTATATATTCTAGTTGTTTATAATTATCATTTACTAATTTTTATTCCGATTTTGCAATACTCTATGCGTAAAACAATTTCAAAATTAAAATAAATCCATATCAAGTTATAGTCTCGAACATGATAATGATCTCTCTTTCAATCTTTGTATTTAGAGGAAAAAAAATTATCCGGATATTGGCGTAATTCGTTTTGGCACAAACCAATAATCATTTCAGTTCCATTTCGGCGTATTAGACGAGCTGGCGGAGTACCCAAATCAATATATATGTGAAATAGCAATGCATATTTCTGCGGTTAAGTAAATAGCACTTGGCATTTTAGTCTCGTCTGTATCTTTGCTCATTCTCGTTAATTTCTCAATGAGTTCTCGTGACGTTGCTTTGAGCGAATGAAACTCAAAATAGTACGTAGTCATTGTCACTTAAAATTGAACAGAAAAATTTGCAACGCGTTTTAAAATAAATTTTAAATTTTTCAAACCGGATATTTGGCGTGGGGAATTTTGGTATAATAATGATCACGAATCACTTAGTCAGTAGATCAAAATAATTCTGAAGTAATTTACACACAGTGCCCTTGTATGACAAAATGTAAAACAAAAAAATTCAAAATACTTGTTTTGCATTTCTACTCAGTTCTACAGCCATATCGCAACCAGAGTTTCCGGTTCCAACGATAGCAACTCGTTTTCCTTCAAATGGTTTTGAGCTTCGATATAAGCGACTGTGCATCTTATCACCCTGGAATTTTTCAACGCCTGAATAACAAAACAAGTGGTTTTGATGAATTTCGCGGGTGATTTGATATGTGACAGAGACTAGCAAGGGGCCTAGGCTTATTACTTGTCACAGGCAGACAGCATCTCTTTCTTATAATATAACCACATAATTCGTTTTCAATCTGGGCAGACAATATCAATACCTGGGAAATCGTCCAATGGATAATAAGGCACAGCGTGGTGTCCAACACATACCATCACGCCATCAAAGATTCTGGTCTCCGTGCCTCCATCACGTACGTTTTTCAGACTCAGCTGCCTTAAATGGATAATGAGGGAGTTTTTATATTATTGCCAAACAATTGCCAGCAGACTATATTCAAATTATAGTACGTGAAAACATTAAAAGTAAGTCATTATATTTTAACACGTTGCAATCTATTGTAGAATACATTTTTCTAGTTTCCCTGAAGTGAGCTTATACAGAGTAACTTTAGAGTAGCCGAACACAAATCGTTTGTGTCGGCTTTATTTATGGTGAATGCTTTATTTCATTTGGACTTTCACAAAAAAAAAATTATATCCACAACTATGTACACTAACATAATACTCTAAAATTGCATTCAATTGACTCTTGTAAAAGAATTCAAAAAATGAAAATACACAAATTTTGGGTACGACAGACAAGCGAGACATGTGAAACAGCTGTTGAAATCATAGACTACTTTCAATTTCCCGGCGTAGAGAGAGTAATACTGAAGCAGTCATGTTACGGCATATTTCAATGAGAAGTAATTCAAAAAAGCAGGAATATGTTCTTTAATTAATAAAGTATAATAATCTAATTTTCATTTCTTTCAAACTTAGCGTTCAGCGATTCATTCGTTTTAGCATTACATCTCTGGGAGTCGATACAGCCGTATAGCATACTTATTCGAACTAAAACTTTAGAAGAGCCCTCGCTCGTGTTTATCAATAGCTACCGACGTGTATCATCACCATTCCCCCAGGCTTAACGGCCGGTTTGAAAGCATCTCATCGTGTTCTTTTACCTATTTTCATTGTCATCAGGTGAGATTACACGTGTAGTACATTATTGCCTAATGTTTTCAAAGCTGATTCGAAGTTTTAGCAACTTACCTGAATATCAGTCCAGTATCTATGTCTTGTGTATTGTAATTATATACTATACCGGGGTGGAGTTCTTATCTAACATAATAATTTATCACAAGTTCATAATGGCCAATTTCTCCGCAATCTTACCATCTTCCCGTTTCTTTGAAATCCGCAGTTTGGCAACATTTGATAACTTCTGTGTTCAAGTTGATATATTTTCGCAGGTTAAACCTAAAACGTGAAACAAGTTTAAGCGTTTTCAATATTCTACTTGAAAGATGAACATCCGACTTCAGTAGTCCTCAAAATAGTACTCAATTTTATCGCCGCGGCAACCCCTAGAATGGAATAGGGCTTTCAAATATTTATAAAGCCCCGTAAATGGACGTGGATAAATTTCAAGGAAAAGCTCTGAGATTAAATATGCTTGAAACACCAAGAACTACAATGAGTGGTTAGGGCACCTCCAAATGTCAATACTAACGTTTCAAGAATTTAAAAAAGAGGAACTGGAACAGTTTTTATATTGACTTTTCGTAATATTACATTTAGCTATAGAAAGCATACTTTTCTGCGTAAAGGTTGAAATAATCCATCACTTTCGTATGATGCATAAAATTTGGATAATCTTTTGGTATAGGGAAGTCGGAGAATGCAAGAGTTTCTTTGCTACTGTTGATGACGGTAGTGCTATAAACGGTTGCCCCATCTTTCTCCTCTGCTTCATATCTCCACAGACCTGGAATAGGATAAATGAAAGTATGCATAATAGGACAATAAATCAAAGCAAATGTATGAGAAAATTTGGGTGAGCGAACACGTACTACTTCTTTTAACAATACCTTTTCATCTAAAATCTGTACGCTTCAATCTGTATCTTACTAGAGGTTTTGTTTGCTCTCCCGATTTTATAATCAGTTTATTTATTTCGTTTTTATCAATTATCGTCTATTATGCTGATTATGGAGTCGAAATAAACTTATATATGCTTATGAACATGCCTCTGTAAATTATACCAAACAGAAAAATTTGGGGTGAAATATTGGTCCTTGTATAACAAGAAGAACGAAATTTGATAAAATACAAAAAATATTCTTTTGGTGAATTATTCCATCTTTGAATACTAAAAATTTGAATTTGATTGGACCATTAGTTACAGAAAAAAGCATTTTTCAGCCTCAAAAACAACAATTATTAAAAAAACAAAAATACCGACAGAAATATAGCAAACTAATCCATACGTCCAATTCGTGCCCGACAAAAATATCTCAAAAAAAACGAATCAAAACTTGTTATAATCTGGTAGTTTACACGTATTTTATGTACACAGATTGCCGTAGTATTTGACATAGTGCACTGATGCTCTCACTTTGTCGTAATAAAATAAATTGTACTCGTGTGATTTTATCGTCGACCTTGGGATTTTTCCTATGACGATATCTTAAAAATAATTTTAAAATTTTAAGCGGCTCAAATTTTTTACCCCCAATTTCGTGATCTTTGTCGAAACATGCAGGTTCTAGTCCTTCATCCAGGCAACATTTGATGGCTGCTAAACCACTACATCCAGCCCCAATTATAGCGATTTTTTTAGCTAACGAATCCATTTGTTATTAAACTGTTATAACACAAGTAAGCGAGACGTCAGTATACTGTTGTACATGCCCTCTGGATTCGTAGTTTTTGAAGAAGAATTTTCTCTCTTTTTTTGGAATCTCTCCAAGCAACGTTATCACGACGCTGTATAAAGTAAACAGCGACATTTCAGTGAATCATTCATTTTTCACCTTGCAATTTAGCGTAACGTGCCCTCCGTGTGCTTTGTTTTCATTTAAGTGTTTTTGCTTCTTGCGTGGCAAATTTACCTTGAAGAATACTAATATATGTTCCTATTCCACATATATATAACTCTGTTACGGTAGTTAAGCGGACTTGCCATAATTGCAGCACTCAAGCGTACGTCGTTCTTCTGTTGAGTCAAAATAATTCTCTTGATAATAAACATAAAATGTTTGTCCGCTTGATTCGTACACGTAATTCAAACCACTAAATGTTTTAGCCCAGGGTGGTCCAAACTGCGGGCCGCGGGTCGCATGCGGCCCACGGACACCTTCCGTGCGGCCCGCAGAACAGTTTTGCGTGTACTAAATCATTGGCAAATATTTGTATTTATTGGCAGAAAATTTTCCGAGTTCTTTTCAAACAATTTCAACTGGAAATAGCCCTTTCTAATCCCGATGTCGGAATTAATGTTTGTTAAAATCACGGAATTTCAATGTCGTATCTATAAACGTCAATACGGTGCCAATATGGGAATGACGCCCTGTGATCGATCGGTACCAGAAAAATGAATATAATTTTAATACATTACAAAACCAAACACGAGAAAAGATACCGAACATACCACGGTATTTCTCGGCAAGCAATTTTAAACAAACTAAACTGCAAGGTCTAAACTAAACATCAATCATCTTTCTACCTAAACTGTATTCCAATAATATAAACGGATGAGATTTCATTTGTATAACTATCGGGTGGAGAGTGTAGTAGTGATCACGAACATACATTGCTCTGTACGCATTACACAACTTTAAATACAATCCAAGCAATTACGCAAACCAAAAACGCTATGATGAGCATGTTCATCCAGAATGGCCGACTTTGTCTTTCTTTTCCAGACAACGGGAACCACATGCGATCCCAATGTGCCATAATAATTTTTCGAGCATCTTTCCATTTACCAGGCCCTGTCAGTCTGTATTGTACGCAAGTGAATGGACCGTAAAGCACCTATGGAAATACGAACGAATTTGTTCCAATTGTCAGTAAAAAGAACATATACGGATGTGAAAAATCTTTGAAAATTGACAAAACGAAAATTTCTGGGGTTATGTCAAGACAATGATTGACCAAAAAATTAAAGACAAAGACCATTGCGTTATTCAACAACATATTCATGCAATTCACTGTATTATATAGTTCAGTGGTTCCCAACCACAATCCCGCGGCACCTCTGAATAGTTCAACGTAAAGTAAATTTTAAATTAATAGGTTGAGATCTTTATCTTTTATTTCATTTAATGTGACCTTCGAACTATTTGAGTTATTTTTGGATTCCAATCGCCTGAAGCATCCTTAAATAAATCCCATACCTTCCACGCAAGCAATGGATCCGTAACAAACAATCGTAACACATCTGGCTTGCATGATAGTTCTTTTGCAATGCTATCCATGTATGAAACTCCATCTACCTGCAGGTAAACGGGTTAATGCTATTACTAACAAACGTGCAAATATCATTGTTCATCTTCTCAGGGCGCTCATCACGCAATATATCTTTCCATTTGCCGCAAGGCAATTTTTTGACAGCAATGCATAAGCATTGTTATGAGTATATATATATATATGGGCCAAACCTAGGCATATCGTCCCGAAATATTTATCCATGTTCTTGACTCCGTGTGAGTTCAAATTTTAGTTTAGAATATTCACAAACCTCAATTGTGTGGCGATGACTATCAAGATATCTTTTTTTCATTCCAGTCATCATTTCATCATATTCGACTTTCATTGATTCATTTGAAGGCAGGTTTAACTCGCCTTAAATACATGTAAACTTAAACAAAGTCATCATCTATTCTCGACCTATTTTTGCATGCTCGTTCTTGAGCTTGACGTTTATTCACGAAACAAACAACAATTTATGGTTTTCGCCTAAACGCTTTGGTGCTGTAGATGAAATTGAGAGAATTATATTTTCTTAACAACATTCTAAATGTTTTATCGATACATAAATCTAGGAAACGTTGTATTGGTATGACGTATTCGATCAATTCCACCCCCAGTCATATATTCTCATTTTTACAGTTACGTCGACCATATTTGAAATTATTGCAGACATTGAGATATCGGAGTCTAAACAAACGTACGGTTGTGACTATTATTACCTTTGAAAACTTTTGTTGCCCATCTTGATTGAAGTTCGGAGCACGGGCCAATTACGGCAAGAGGCTGAACAAGGCCAATAACGGCTAATGTGTTTCGTTCCAAGTTCATGGGCCATACCAGGCGAAAAAGTTCTGATTCGTGGTTGGTTGTCTGTGATGAAATATTGTTTACTAAAACATGTTTGAATAAATATACCGAAGCTTGGAGATCATTATACAAATATAAGTTAGACCAAGCTCCTCATATTTGCCTTGTATGCACGAGCCAATACGTTTTATTAAAAATAATATCTAATAAATGAACGCCTCAATGCTCACACAATTTTATATAGAACATTTCATCACTCTCTTTTCGTAATACCAAACAGGACAATGAAGAGTCTGAGTTAATTGTTTTGTTGTTGATAATTTCATATATTTCTGAAGTCTTAAATCGGAGTAAAATTTTTCCCTTGGGCAGAATACGGTCAATCAACATCAAGGTTTTTGCGATCAAAATACATTGCAGTGTAGTAGGAGTAATTTTCTTTAGAGACTAGGTTGAAGTCACATTATTAATATACTGGAAGTGAACAAAGATGGGATCAAACCTTTTATGACATAATGTAAAATTTATCAGAGTAACAGGGTCCTATGTCCCAGACTAATAACCAATTTAAATGAAAAGTGCATGAGTCATAATATATTTAATAGACAACATGGCCGCGTGGATGATCATGGTTGTTGTTCAAAAATTAGTGTTTGTAAATTACAGCCAAAAAAGTCAAAAAAACTTCTTCGGTTTTAAAGCTACAAGCAAATTAATAAAGTCGGAATATAGATATATTCGATTCCAGACGTAATATGTTCAAACCTACTTTAATATTGCCGAGCATGTTGGAAAAAGTCATGACGAAGCTCAGGATTATGCTGCAAACAGCGAAAAATTGCAAATATGGAAAAATCCACCTTACAAAATCTAAATTATTATTCCAAGCGCAAAGTTATCTTACGTCAACCACACATTTGTCTAAGAACGGAAATTCGAAAGAAAATCCTGTTGCAAAAATTACTGCATCCATTTGTTCTCTTGTTCCGTCACTAAATATAACTTCAGTTTCCGTAAATCCTGTGATGTTAGGCTTCAAAATAACAGTGCCGTTAGCAATCCTGTTTGGCAGTTCGTCGTTGATTGTCGGATGCTGAAAATTGTTAATTAAATTTTCAAATTTGTATAATTTAAAATACATTTTGAGTGGCTTTAAAACGAAAAAAGTAAGAGGTATAAAGACACTGTGTAATATAATCCATTCAAAAGTGACCAGCCTAGTGACATATCAAAATAATGACTTTACTTATGCTTATGCTACTATATGCTTATGGACCATGCTAGCCATGAAAGTGTCAAGTATTGGATATTCAAAAAAGGTGTGAAAGAAAAATATTCAACCTGTGAAAGTACTCGATGTTTCGGCTTGAGCCCATATTTTTCGTGATCAAATCTGGTGTTCAGAATCGATTCAAACAATGGATTCATGATGAATGGCATGTTTATCATCAACCACGAATTAAGCCTAAATATATTTTTAATCATGTTATGTTTCGTCATCAAGCCCATGTTGCTAATAGTAATATCGTCGAAATAAAACAGCTGTAATATACAGATATATGCATTTTTTGCAGTGGTATTTATTACATATGGGATGCAGCATTAATTTTATATCGAGAATTTTATTGATCAGCGCTAGTTATGAAACTGATATAAACAAGCAAACCTGGTAATGGCGAGAAAGTCAAACGGAACACCTTTATCCATGATGCGATTAAAAACCCAAGCTCCCCGTCTCGTACTCAAGTAAACCTGTGAGAAAAATGAGAGGATACTGTCATTAACATGTTTCGATAAAATGTTTGTGGAAAGGAATATATAAAAATGACATGCGCTTTCTGTTCCAATTTCTTGCATGTTTTGATAAAGTACGGACCAAGCCACAAAGGGCTTAAGCAACACGAAAAAAAAGTTTTGAAGATAACCAATTTTAACTAATGTGTATTTCTCTGAAACGTCTTTAACGTTAGACGACTCATATTTACAAAAATTCGTGGATTATGAGTTGTTTAACATGCTATTTCTAGATTTTGTGGTTTGAAAAAGCACGAGCTGCCCATTCTGTTTCATTTAATCTGCCGAGCCATGTTGTGGTATTATTTGACAAGACTGAGAAGCAGTAAGTCAAGTTAGTAAAAGTAAAATATGCGCTACAGGCGAGAGTATTCAGGTTAAACAACAACAACCAATTCCATTTTTTTCTCTATAGAGGTTACCACAAATAAGTACTGCTAATTCTTTGCTAATAACTAATAACATTGCCGTTGCCACAATCGGCTTAGCTCGGAAGTAACTGAAAGTTGCTGAAATGGATTAATAAATTGAAAAGTATAAAAATTTCTGGTAAACAAATGTCATGTCAGCGATAATTACAGTTTGAATCACCACAATAACGATTCCCACGAAAAATCAATCCTGTATATCACGTAGGCACGGCATTGAAACCTAACATTAATTTTTGAGAGGCAACAAATCAAGTTTACTTTTTAAAGCTTATACATTCTATTGGTCTATATATTCTAGTTGTTTATAATTATCATTTACTAATTTTTATTCCGATTTTGCAATACTCTAAGAGTAAAACAATTTCAAAATTAAAATAAATCCATATCAAGTTATAGTCTCGAACATGATAATGATCTCTCTTTCAATCTTTGTATTTAGAGGAAAAAAAATTATCCGGATATTGGCGTAATTCGTTTTGGCACAAACCA